TTATGAAAGATAAAACCCTTAGCTCATTTCAAAAAAAAATCATCTCAATATCTATTTTTTTGACGAAGTTATAGATATATATATCTCTATATGTATGATCCTCTGAAAGCGTTTTTTATCGCTCCTCGAGCTATTGTATGCCAGATTCCTCTTTTTCATTATAAAACTCATGCACATGACCTTTTTAATGTGTCAGCATCTTTGAACACCATGGTGTATTTAGTACATTAAATTAAATGGTGTATTCAGTACATTATATTAAGAACTTTAAATACGTTTTTCTCAAATTGACTTTTTTCAATGCGGTGCCACAAATTAACAAAAACTACAAGTCGGATCGACTTGCATTTTTTTTTAATTTGTTCACCACTGCCAATACCGAGTCCCCCTACCTCAAACAACTTGATAACATTACGCAAAAAAAATTTGCGAAGCTTCTCGCCCCCAAAAAAGGCCTTTTTTGACACTTTTTTTTTAAATAGCTGCCATTTTTTCCTTCTGCTTTTTTTCTTTTATTTTGGTAGGGGACTGGAAACAAACTTCTTCTTCAACGTAATTATTTTTTTTTGTTTCGGGCGATGCGCAACGGATTTATCTGTGGCACCGCAAAAGAGATCGTTTTTGCAAGACCGACTTTGGCGCCCCCTGGTTATAAAATGACGGCGCAAAAAGAAAGAAGAAGAAATCACGTAATATTCTATGATTTTGTAATTTTTGTTTAAAAAAAACCGCATGTCTCTATGATAAATACATTTCGAGGAAAAACAAAAAACAAATACCTTGCATTTTTTGTAACGAAAAAGAACAACCCCCTTAAGGCAAAATGCCATTTATAATTTGAAATTAAATTTCTTACCAATCTTATAGGATCATGTGGCGGCAAATTCATAGGATACACAATGGTTATAGCACCTTTCAGTAATTTAATAGCTTCATGTATTGTTTTGATTGTAACTTGTTCATTTTGATCGACTAATTTCTAAAAAAGAAATTCTACATTAACACACATATATACCATCGATCAAAAAAGTATTTTATTTAGAATTAGAAATTTTGTTTGTGCATGATGTTCAATATTCCAATTAAAAATTATGGAATTGTAATTTTTTAATGTAATTTAAATATAAGAATGTATAGAATTAATATATATATATATATATATATATATATATAAAGACAAAAAAAATATTTTATTAAAAATAACTCACTCGGCTGGTCATTGCTTTAACGTCTTCGATGGTCTTGCTGATCATGTCTTGTAAGTGCTTGTGAGGCTGACGACCATTTCTGCGCCCCATGGGATCTCTGAATAAATAAAAACAATAATCATAAATAATTGCTTTACATTAATTAAATATAAACATTCATTGACTTTTATTTAAAAAACTTAACTTCTCGTTATTTTATTGGCTTTATATGCTATTTTCAAACTATTTGTGATTCAATAATTACACTTCTTTCATATTTATTTTTTAAATGTGTATAAATAAAAGCATAAGTAATGAAAATTTATAAATCGCCATCATAAAATTTGTGAACGTTAATGCTTAAAAATTACTATATAATAGCTTAAAGAACAAATTAATGCATTATATGCTCGTATATTATTTCTTTCTAGGCTTAAAGAGCTGAGATATATGTATATAATATTCACTTTTATGTAATTATTTATATGTTACTTATTGAACAAAATCAAAAAGTCTGCGAAGGATTCAAATGTAAGAAACGTATATTATTCTGTTTTGTGAAGGTAACTTTTTCAGATGTAATTAGCAGAAGTTTGTTACTCTGAACATATCAAAAATAAAACATGTGGAAACTTGTTCGATATATATTTTATATGCTTAATTTTGATATATATTATTTATATTACTTATTTTCGATGTATCCGCCACTTGGAATGCATTTGTCCGCCCATGGGTCAACTAGTTTGAAGTCACGCACCTGATCCTCATTCAAACCTAAAATTTCTGGCGGAAACATAACACCATGCTTGGCTAATTCTTCCATCTCTAAAATATCAATTATTTGACTATCAAAATAATATGTCATAGAATTTAAATTTCATTATATTATAATTATTTTTATTTTCTTACCACTTGCCTGCACAAATACGACTAATTTTCAGTCGACCGTTAAATATTGACACTATTCAGCTAAAGCCGTATCAACCGGCGTATTAATAGGGTTTCATATAAAAATTGATTTCATCGCCACGTTTTACTCGAAGTAACCCATTATGTATATTTAGAATAAAATATGCAAAATATTCTAGAATTTTTACTCAAGTTTTGTATGTTCAATTATTTTCCGAACTTGAAGTAAACAATAAGACCGTTTCCTTGGAAACGAAAATGAATGAAAGTTCTCAATTGATAAATTTAGATCAATAAGTATTTACTACTACCTAAAACTTATCTAAACATGAATATAAACTAGAGGAACAATTAATTTCAAATTTTGCTGTACTATGAAGACAGAAAATATGAAGGAGAAATTAATAATTTCGTAAAAAACGTAGTCGTAGTCGAAGGATAAATTCATTTTTTCGCTAAAAAATAAGTGGCTTGCTAATTTTATGTTTTCTCGACGTTTGACACCAAATTTAGAAAAAGTACAACCTTTTGCTCAGAGAGCTGAACCAATTTCAAAAATTTAAAACGCAAACTATTCTAATTTTATTTACTTCATTATATTTCGCTATATATTTATGATCTTCTATTGAATATTTGTTATTAAATATAACTAAAATTAATCATAGTTGTTGCTTCATTTAAATTTACATTCACCTATTTAGGGTAGATTATTGATCGTATTTAATCATTTTATTGAAATTTCGATGCAAACCTGCCATTTGCATGAGATCAATACTAAATATGATAAAATTTTTTTTACATAATAAAAACATTTTAATTTATATTATTTTATTTACCATTACATAAATATTTAATTCATCTTTTTCATTTATCTTTCATTCCACAAAGACATCATTATTAAAAATATTGTATCTGTACAGTGTATTGACTATAGTTTTATATAAGTTGATGTTCCAGGATACTGTGGCAGATTTAAATCATATTTATCTTGCAAACTCTTTGGAACAAATAAACCACCTAAAAACATTTTAATACAGAAAGTATAGTATTTAAATTATTATAATTATACAGTAAAAATTTAATCTTAAGTATCATGAATAGATATATTATACCTAAATAATGGTGGCCATTAAACTTGTGTGCACATTTTTTTGGTGCTGTTAATGATATAAGCATCTTTGGATTTATTCCTCCACTTTCGGGGCAGCCTGTTTCGACATCCCACCCACTTGGAATATCAATGCTAAAATGAAAAAATGATTCATTTCACTAGATTATAAGCATTGAATTTGAAATTAGAATATTTATATTGCTTATTTCAAAATTACCTCACAATTGGAATCTTTGTTTCTATCATTTGATTGATTATATCTTTGAATTCATCTCTAACAGGAGGCTTGAAGCTAAATCCAAATAATGCATCAACTATTAAGCCAAATTTATGTGTCTCTGTGATTTTATGGCTTGATTCAATTAGCGGAATATTATTTCTAGTACACTGATGCAAAAGATTCTGGTATAGTTCTTTAGGAGTTTGTTTCGGATAGTATAAGAATGGACAATAGCCAGTTAAGGCTAAATGTCTTGCAGCTACTAAGCCGTCACCACCATTGTTACCAGGGCCACAACAAACCAATACATTTTTACTTTCTAAACTGAAAAATAGGCAAAAATTAAATAAAGAAAAAATAATGGTAATTGACTTTAGTTAATAATTTTTATTGTGGTTTTTGATTCTTCTTGGAACCCTATTAAACACTGTCATGAGCATGCCTATTTTAATCAGAATTTCTCACTTTCAATATTGTAAATATTATTTCAACGATTATTATGCAAAGCAAATGAGAACTCTGCCTTTTAGACAAGCTCAAAGTCAATGTGTATTGGATAAGCCTGACGATGAGCAGAATTATTGTGCAATTACACTTAAAATTGTTTGGATATTAGAAATATCTCATTGGTACTTATTTAGACCTGATCTTAATCACGACAAAACTATATTGGCCATTAGAAGCATTATATTTAACTATGCTCAGCTCAAATTACTGAATCATATTGCAATGACATTCATCGATAAAATTTATTATAGCTATATGTAAAGCTAATCATCATCATCATAGATTAAATCGATAAACTAATTAATCCTGAATAATAATGAACTAACCTATCAGGAGGATAGCAATTAGATATAGCAGAAGAACAGCTCAAACCAGCAAGTTCCATTAACTGGTCAACGCTGAATTTATACTCATTGAATAATTCAACATCAATTTTTGTAGCTTCATCTTGCGAAAGGTATTTCATTTTGGTCAAACAGCTTGTTTGTATTTTTCTAACTTGAGATAACTGAAATTGTGTTAAAAAAATTAAGTACATAGAATATAGTACTGACTATTATATTCGAATTGAGTAGCAATGCTCACAAGCATATTACTTTATTATGCTATAAAATCAGATGATTAGCCTATTTCAGTTTAAATTTTGCTGTTTTATATTATTGTCTGGGATTATAACATAGACGTTTCTCTCTCGCGGTATTTGCGTTCAGAGAGCTAGGGAAAGTCACGACCGCAATTGGGTGATGGCGCTTTAATCGCATGTCGCTCGGCAGCCTCGTGCTCCAAAATGCATTCAAATTAAAGCGCCAAAATTAGAAATAAAAGAAAATTGTCAATTTGTAAAAATAATTTATTTGTATTTAAATTTTGCATTACAATAGTCTTATATTGACATTGTTATACAATAACAAAACATACCAAACATAATACATATATTAAAATAGATATCAAAGTAAATAGCAATATGTTGCAACAAACATATTTATTTAAAAAAAAGGAAAATAAAAAGTTTAACGAATTACAGGATTCCTGCCTTCAAGTGGATAATCATTCATTATTCACTACCAATAATGTTGTGAACACAAAACATGGTGTTTAAATTATAGTGTCTGTGCATTACTTATTAACTAATAATCATTCAAGTAAGATTTGTCACTTTTCAGCACATTCTTTGCGATAATCCAGTCATGCTAAATGGCTCTTGATATTATCTTGATATTCAAAAAACTGCTGCATTAAATAACTTATTTTATCATTTGCACGGCAATTGGAACGTTCATTAACTCAGTGGGTGTTCTAAAAAATGTAAGTCTAGTCTATTTATGCTTTTCCATATGATATTAAGAGCCTCCAAAGTTTAATACAATTTAGAGGAGCCTTGCTTTCTTATAAAAGAGCCCTAGCTTGCTCCCAAAAATGTATTGTGATTAAATTTTATTATATACACTGCTTTAACAACTGCTTTATTTCCTCTTCATTTAAGAGTTATAGATTTGCTTGAATCACAAATAAAACCGTATAAACAATTATAAAACACTTGTAAACACAACAATCACAATAAGAATCAAAACAAAATTTTGACATTTCTGGTACATATTGCTCGTGAATTACTAACCTGTCAAACTTGTCATCGGCTCACTAGCGCCAAATTTGCGCCTAGCGGTCGTGACTGGAACTACGCGTTGTGAACGCGGATTTTGTACTGAGATAATAGGGCCTGTATAACCTAACATGACTGTCAATTACTAATACGTCAGGTATCAGTTGATACAAGTTGCATTTTGCAGCTCTGTTCCAATTCGACGATGCAAATATTGAATTTAATCGCTTATTACTATCAAAATCTTCATTACTAACTTTTAATATCTCGTATCTATTTAGGGGTCGTCTCTTAGAAATATTTCTCCGAAGTATCTGGTGCAGTAAAGACTAATTTCTTCTTCTATAGTTCGAATCCTGAGATCTTGATGTATCAATCAATTGGGAACGTATTTTGAAGCGTTCACGATTTATTTCAAAATGTTATTTTGGAACCTTTGTGGAATAGTTATGTTCGATTTACTGGCCGCACCCCATAATTGTACGCCGTAGGACCATATTGGTTTAATAATTGTCTTGTATATTAGGAGTTTAACCAATTAAGTTGCCTACGTGTTAATTCAAGCTGCTGACACTTCTTTAGAATATGTTCATGCCAAGTTAATCTTCTATCTAAATGTATTCGCAGATATTTAACAACATTGGATACAGGCACCAAACACCATTCAATCTAACAGGGGGGCATGAACCTTGACGTAAGGTAAAAATAACGTGAACTGATTTAGAGTTATTAACTTTTATTCTCCATAGTTTCATCCACTTTTCTACTTCATCTACATGTTTTTGTTGAATTGCCGAGGCAAGCAAATGGTTTTCATGTTGAGCTAGAATTTCCGTATCATCTGCAAAGGTAGCAATCATGGTTTCTGCATTTGTAGGTATATCAGCAGTATATATAATGTAAAGCAGCGGACCAAGAACACTACCTTGGGGAACTCCGGAAGAAATATTTACATTAGATGAAGCATCATCAAAAATGATGAAGAACCTTCTATCACACAGATATGATTTTAGGAGGAGATAATAGTTGTATGGTAAATTCTTCTTTAATTTGTACAACAAGCCGTTATGCCAAACTTTATCAAACGCCTGACTGATGTCAAAAAAAGGGCTGAACAATATTTCTTTAAGTGAAAGGCTTTATAAATGGAATCAACAACTCTATGTATTTGTTCTATTGCTGAGTGTTGTCTAATGAACCCAACAGATCCTTTTCATGTATTTATAAATTTATGAGTATTATTTCAAACATGAAACAGTTTTCTCCATATTCTAGAAGGTTCAAAGAATTCTTTAAGCCTTTTAATCAATTCCTTGAAAAACTGTATAGTGCTCTTACCTCCTAATAAACAGGAAACCAAAAGTATACAAATGTACATTGATTTGATATACATATATCCAGTTAATGTAGAAAAATATTAGATTATCTACTGTAGAATATTGGAAACTAAAAATATACAATCTTGCAAAATATGCTAGTTATTTTTGAGAAATAATTTAAAGTTATACAGTTGAAGCAGTTTTAAATTCAGCCATTAAGATGATTCCTGGAATTCCTGATTTGATGGAAAATCATCAGCATTGAATAAGTTCATTTATATGGTAGATTAGTCTAGGCAGGGTTTAAATTCTGCAACAATTTAAAATAGTGGTTATTTCCTTAAAACTCAAAATAATCTGACAACTAAAATAATCTGAAAGGACTAAGGCGGATTCCAAACACCTATGCTAAGACTTCTTAGAGAAGAAAGCTTTTATTAATAAATAAATAAATTAAATTTATAATATTAATGTTTCAGTTGAAGAAGTTATAGCATCATATATAAAAGTATTATGTAAAGGTTTAAACTGCCTTGTAACAATTTTAATAACTTCTTGTGTAACACATCCTCCTGAAAATAATTTTATGTGAGTTCAGAATTGATGAGTTATATTATATATAAATTAAAAGAGTCGATATAAACCTATAAATGCAGAAACACTATGTATTTCAGATCCTCCATATCGACACAGTTCATGGGACAAGTCTTCTCGAGGTATAGCTGAACAACCCCAATCAGATATCAGTTTTGAAACACAAGACTTTAGACGGGCTGCATCAGGTTCCATCTGACCAGATTAAGCAGTCACAATATTTTATTAAAAAATATAATCGAATTAATTGCATTATTCTTGATCATTCATGCAAGAAAAAAATATCTTAAGATACGGAAAAAATAGCTTTCTAATATATAATTTCTGGAAGTTATATATTACATACAGTTTTTGAAAACAAAAAAATTATACAAAAATATTAGCATAACATGATTATTATCTAATCTAATCTAAATAATTATTTTTTTCATTAAATAAACATAAAATAATCAAGAGTCCTATACACTTACCTGACATTCTCCAGGAAGCACACCATATTCCATTAAAAATTTCTCAGTAGCCCTCAGCGTCACATAGTGTTCCATTAAGCTACTTGGATTTTCAAGTCCTGATGCTATAATTTATGTCATCATAAAAGATATCATACATGAGTTTAGACTAAAGTATTTAATTGGCTTACCAACAATATTTGCTATAGTTGATTTGTCATATTCATCTGATATTTTAGTACCACGCACCAAATGTAACGAATTAGCATTTCTGCAGAATATTTTTATATCTTGCTCACTAACGTAATCATAAGGTAAATCTAATTCTTGAATCAAATCTTGCACATATTTCATTACAATTTCAACGTCATGATTGAATTGGTTCTTATATCTGTTAGAATAAAAATATTTATAAAATTGTAAAGGAATAAATATCAGCATAAAAAATATATTGTAATACACTTGTTGCAATGCGATGTATGATTTAGTGTCAGCAGTCATATCTGGAATAACGCCTTCAACTGGTAACCATCCATTTCCTTCTTTTAATTCAAACTTTCTAACAGCATGAGCCATCACCCAAAATGGAGTTGACTGAAAAACAAATTATCTTAATTACTAAATTTTAATATCTACATCATTGCATTTTATTATTATCATATATAAACTAACATTTCGAGATAGATTTAAACAGCTATCATCATCTAATATTTTTCTAATATCACTTGTTGCCTTTCCACCTCCAAGATTCGAGTTGACTGCACGTATGGCCTCTTCGTAATTTTCTTCATCTGCAGTCATACCTAAAATACATAAAACAATTGTGTTAAAAAATAAAAACATATGCTATAAAATATAGTGCTATGTACGAACATTACTTTAAAAAAAAAATATGTAAAATGGTTGAATATGAGCATTGACACTGTGGGTAATGATCACATGTAAGTAATTGAATCATAAAAGTTTTTAGATATAATTCAATACAATATAATAATAATTAATTAGAATATAATATGACATGTTTCTGTTCTAGCAAAAAAATAGGAGTTTGTACAAATATTATTATGCTAATAAATTAAATATTAATTGAAAGAATTTACCTGCTTTAATTAAGTCCTTCAATTCTGTTTTTTCCTTATATGTTTTAGGAATTCGACCTTCATTTGATTTGCGCCATATTTGTAAGTAATGGTACAGAATTTCTATCCAAGGAGTTTTTGAGGATAATTCTGTTCTCTGTAAAATATAATTTATATAAACATATAAGTTCAAATATTACCAGTACCTTTATATGTATCATAAATTGAATTGAACATTATTATTTAAACAAAGCTCTGCATTCTTACTCTTATTATCTTATATTTCACTCTTATATAGTGAAAAATAAATTATGTATAAAAGTTATGCTTTTATAACAATACCTGAAAATGCTTCTCTAATGCTGGGAAAGGTTCTACAAGACGCAAATCAGAAGATTTGTTGTCTGGATGTGATTCTACAACTGTAAGCTCTTTGATTTGAATTCTCAATGAACCCATAAAACCAATACTTCGACAGACTATTAATGGTACATTTAACTCCCATAGATGATTTGATAATTGAATGGTCGTTCTGAAAAAGTGAACTATATCAGTTTTTCTACCAAGTCAACACCGTATAATCTCTGATAAGATATAATTTAATATTGAAATTATTCTGTCAAAAACTGTTTTAGCTGTAAGTTGTAAGCTGTGCATAAATAATTTCTAAATATTTCTTTTAATTGGATATATCTTTAGAATAAAAATATTTTCATACTTTTCTGATAAAGATGTGGCTACTACAACTTTGAAGTTTTTGAAAAAGTCTGGATTTTTTTCTAACAACTGTTCAGGGCTTTCATCAACATAATCTCCTCTTACGTCAGGATTTAGTTCGAGTAGTCCCCTTGCACAAGCCTGAGCTCTAGATTGCCCAACACAATTTAATTCCAGGAAAAAACTAAAACAAGCAGAAAATAATCATTAACATACAAAAATTATACATGTGCACATATAATTAAATTCTATAGTAATTTTTTATTTGTATAAACACATTTATATTGTCAATGTTCTGACTTGCATCCAACGTCTTCCTCAGTGACTGTTTTCTCATCTACAATAGTAAATCCACCAACACCGGGTAGAATTAGGCCTTTCAGAATTTCACTTCCCAGAGCAGTGGCATTTATTACACATATCTGAGCTTGTTCCAATAATGATTGACCATTTTCGCCCCACAGCCTAATTGCACAAAATTTGTAAATGTTAATAAATTAAATAATGTTGCAATAGTTAATACGTTGATGTAATACCGTATTTGACGATCATATTTTTTGCTTTTTTCAGACATTTCTGGTGATTTCGGAGCAGGTGAGGACATTTCATTAAAAAAGTTTTTAATATAATTGTAAAGGTAAGTATCAACGAAAATTAGGAACTGTCAAACACGAATAACCTGAAATGTTATGTTTTAGTACGAGAGACGCCGACATACAGCGTTACACCTGACTAATTTCAAATAGGGATCAATACACAAATATTGTTTAATTACAAATGTTCTCGTATTACAAATATTTAACTATTGATAATATTATTAGATATTTACATATTGATTTTTCAATAAATGCAATATTTTGGAAAAATTAAAAAAATATTCAAAATTCGCGCCCATTTATCTTCTACAAAAAATCAATATTTTCAATTAGCAGAAACTTCAGTTGAGTTTTAAATTTTAACTGTTTAACAACCGATGAGCTTTGTGTCAAAAATATTGTCCTTGTCACTAGCACATTTTAAAATTAATATCTGCTAATTAAAAAAGTTAATCTTGTTCATATCTAAACATTTGAGTTTTATTTAGTTTATTTTATATTTTTGGTAATAGCTTTTATAATGGACTTGTTTTCCTTTGAAAAAACTCGTGAAGAACGCTTAGAAGAATATTTACAAATCTTACGGTTTAATGATGAACCCTTACCTGCATCTAGAGTTAGGTATAGTAAAATATTAAATTGATGAATCAATGGTTTTATAATTATTTTGAAACCAAAAATAATTTTCAGATCTGAGTGGTCTGATTTTCTGGAGATCGAAATGGAATCGTCTGGCTGGCAAGCTATTTGGAAAATTCCAAGGGATCTATGTGAACAGTTCAAGATACATTATCCTAATTTAGTTCTTGTTATTGTGAAAGAAATTTGTTATAAATTGCTCCTCGCTACAGTGACTGTTATCGGTGTAAGCAATCGAACTACTACAGATTACATTTCGTAATATTGTGATTAACAATACTTTAGAATGTTGTATATTATTAGGTTCAAGATGATGATATTCATTTACCAGAAACATTGGAAGCAGAATTAATAGAATTATGGCCCACAAAATCTCAAGAATATGATACTCTAGATGTGTATCGCACTGCAGATTGTTTGGATAAATTTAGGTATAATTCTTTTTAACATAACATATTTTATTGTAATAGTTGTATAATTTCCTCGAGCTGATCTATGTATATAAATCAGAATTAAATTGTTAATTTAAAGTCTGATTAGTAATAGATTTTACTAAATTTTCTTAAAGATTCTTTTACAATAACATTTGGATGCCGTGGGACATGTGCATGGATGACGGTATTGATTGGCCAGAAGAACATCTCAAACCTAGATTAGATTTGTACTTTGCCCTACATTCAGGAGAAATTCCTGGACCAAAATGTGCATATATCAAAGGCCTTATAAAAGAAGCAAAATCATTACAAGATATGAAAAACAATATTGAAGCTGAAATGAGCGATAATGAAGAAGAAGAGCCTAATGGTACATTAATTTTCTTATTATTATAACCTTGAAATTGGGTTCAGAATTTATATTGTTGAATATTTTTATTATTTTAGATCCTAAAACTGCTAAACTCCTTTTAAGAATACATTTTCAACTGAAGCAGTTACAAGAGCAAATTGAAATTTGTGAAAATAATAAAATGAGGGATCTACTAGATATTTCAGGTTCGGCTGATACATCATTTGGCAACAGCCAAGTAGCAGATATATATTTTGTTTCACCAATTTGTACTGTTGAAGATCATTTAAAATATGTGAAAAAATCCCAAGAGTTCATTCCTAATACAAGTTTAGTTGAATATTGCCACAATCTAGAAACAGTTTTAGAATCTTGTGGCCATGATAACACCGTCATTATATCTCCTGGAACTTATGCCATTCCATCCATGATCAAAATCAGAGAGAAATGTGTAGTTAAGGGAATATATTCTCCCAGCGAGACTAAACTTCAGACATTAATTGAAAACTCATATTTCATTAGTACTTTTCGGAATGTAGTTATTGAAAACTTAACAATTGATGCAAACAATCTTCAGTATGCTTTCATCGCAGCTTATGGAACATTACACTTGAAAAATTGTGTTATAGTAGGTGATGGAAAGTCTGTTACAACACATGGAATTTCAATTTCTCCCAACTCTGTGCTAGAAACGGACCATTGTGAAATATATAACTTTAGTACAGGAATTCTTTGCAATAAAGATTCAAAAGTTATATTGAGGTAAGTAGAATAGAAATCAAAGATGATATTATAGATTTTTTTTTTTTTGTTAACATTGATAATTCATACATTTTTGCAATCCGAACATTATTGCGCCAGACTTTCCTACATAAGAAATCTGTGTAATGCTGAAAATGTGAATATAGCTTTTTTTCTTCATATCAATTCCAATTTTGTTTTAGGGATTCAGTCATTCGTGATTGCTTTTGGGGTATGAGGGTATTGTCTGGTTGCAGTGTAACATTAATTAATTCTTCTATCAAAGATTGTAAAGAAAATGGTATTCTAGTGAATGATGATGATCTCACCGAAGGTCATGGTGATAGCGACATCCTCAAAGAGTAATATTTTTCCTTCATTTCTACTATTATTTGAATGTGTAAGAAATTAATATATTTTCTGCTTCAGCTTACATGGATTTAAACTCATGTCATCAACAATCCAAAATGTGAAATTAGCTAATTCTGTTATAAAGAAAATTGGGCAAGCTGCTTATGGAACGGTGAATGATAATCACATGGAATGATTGGAGAAAAATGGTTATAACTATGCATAAGACTATATAATGGTATCTATATATTTAATATGTCCAATATATAAAACTTAGTATAAATATTATTAGTGTACGTTAATATAATAATTTGATAAAATAAATGTTTTTTTGTATAAAGTATTTTGTTAATTATAAACTCTTAAAAAGAAATCAATAATTTAATTTTATTCAATGATAATTGTCCAATATTTACTTTTATATTTTCTTATATGTAAAGAAACTCTACTTTTCTTGTTAAAATACTGTTTCGTATTGTAATCTCTATCTACTCCGCAGTTTTAATTTGAAAAATAAATTAATTTTGTTTTTAAAGATCTTGTAAAACTTTTAAATATTGCGGATTTTTGGATTCACATATAACTATAAATAAAACATAAGTATAAATAAAATATAAATATAAATAAAATAATTTATTAACCGTTCAATACTTATAATCCAATAATCTAATTTAAAGTTATTTATATGAAATTCAGAAAAAACGTTATTTATAAAAAAAGCTAAAAAAAATATCAACATATAATAATCGATAAAACCATGGTTTTATGCAATGCTATGCATGCATTTCTCATAAAAAGGACTCAGTTATTGGTGACTTAATATATACTTATATTATTTACATAAAATATTTTGAACATCAGTTTAAGCAACATCATAAAAAGCGTGTGACTATCAGATGTTTCTAAAATGTCCTTTGTCGCAATTATTTTCTCACTTTATCTGGAGCTATCATATTTGGGACTGTTTTTAGCAATTGACGGAATTGGCCTTTGAACAAATCCCATTGACTAGTAAATCGTAAATTCATACCGAATTCTTTACAAACTTGCCGAAAAACTGGATACAAATATGGCAATTCGGCGTGATCTAACGTTGGAAATAAATGGTGTAAACCGTGATCACCAAAAGTTGTTAAAACCAGAAATAATGAACCTGTGACTTCCTGTCTCTCCATAACCGTGTCAATCTGAAATTTACCGAAATCCAAATCTTCTCTAGGGGTATCTCCGTGATGATAAATTTCTGGATGATGGTGTGCTGCGTTGAAAGCGGTTACACCAAAGAAAAAACTTGCTATTACCACAATCATGAGCCATATTTTTAACGTGGAGATCACAGGCAAACTTGATGTGAGCAGCATTGCCAAAGGCAAAGAGAATGGAATCACCTCTTGCCATAACGGGGTATGAAGTCTGCTTCTTTCTATAGCATCCAGCACTCTAAAAATTATATTGTCGCTTAAAATTTTATACCGCGAATGGTTTAAAATTTATAAGTAATAATTTGCATAAACTGTACTTTTATCAGCATTTCAACCGCCTGGCAGTTGGTAAATTTATAGTCAGCGATATATAGTGTGAGCAGTGGAATTTACAAATTTTTCAAAATATTAATGTTAGAAATTAAAATAATAAAACATACCTCGATAAATATTGCGTGATATAGAGACTGGCATAAAATACAGGTGACACAGTCCAAGAAATATACCTCAAAATACTTTTTTCTTTTGATTGCCATGACAAAAACGGTTCGGCTATGCTGAGCTCCATGTCGACCAGGGTGTTTGGATGCAAGTGATGTGACAAGGCATGCGATATTCGCCATTCTCTTAAAGTTTAGAAAAGATTATTTAAATTATGATGGGGAAAGATTTTTTCAATTTATTATTTTTATTTTATGACGATAACTTTGCCCTTCTTAAGGAGAATCTTACAAATTTTTATACAAAACCCGCCAACGCTGCGAATTTTACTTTTTGAGGCGATCTGATTGTGTCGAAAGATAAACCATTAACTTGAGTCAAAAATATTGTAACGACAATAGACATTGTCGCCAAAGGGGTCAAAACTCGAGGGGTAAAAATCGTCGTTAAGAAATGTAAAATCCTCCGAGGAGGCCTGTCGGGTCCAGGCGCGAGCCCTTGGACCCACTTATAGTGTATAGTGGTGTGTGTTGTGCCAGGAGAGAAGAACCTGTTCCAGCAAAGGTCAGATTGTTTTGTTTAGTAGCTATTCCCTCCGTAACTCCGTCGCTCTGTCATTTATAATAATTAAAGATTTGTTAGTACGATAGAGTTTAGGGATGGGACATGACTGTACGTAGGCACAGTCATGCCCTCACACCTGTAATCATAATTAGTTAAATTAGATAAGATAAAAGCACATTCTGTTTCATTCGTGTTGTCAGTTCCACAGGTAATTACAGGCTGTTCATAGAAGTCGGGTTAAGGAGTTGGAGTAACCCTTTCGTAAAGGGAGTGTAATGCTAAAATTTAATAAATGGCCGTCATTGCACGTCACCAAGAAAGGAAGTTCAACCCCACTCGTCACAATAAGTAAAAGGTTTAGTTTTTACAGAAAACAATATATTCACCTGTGATTCATCATAGATAAATTAAAAGCATACATTCTCCAGTTGTTTCTTTGATGAAAGAAATTATGTGCTGCTATTGTTGTCCAAGTCAAAAATAACGCGGCTACAAATATGAACGGGCAATAGGCTGTTGCTAGCATTGAACTAATAAATGTACCCAGAATGAAACAATCTAATATAAGTTTGGATTTTTTCTTGGCTATTTTTGGTATATTTTTGATTTCTTCTCGAACACGACGTTTCAATGTTCTATAGAAGCCGTTTTCATGGTATGTTAATAATGAGTGACTTGGTGTTTGAGCATCTCGCACATAAAATTTTGGTAAGAGCTTTTCGGCAGCCAGTGATATGTGATGTGCTTCGAAAGCTGCGGTTATATCAGTGTTCTGAAAAAAGACAACCGTAATTATTAAATGAGAAATTAAAATGCTAACTTGTTTCTTAAGATAATTCGTTGAAGCTTGTTGATTTTTATCTGAAATTCAATAGACAATTGTATTTAATTTGCTGATGATATTTCATACCAACTTTTCTGAATGATTTTGCTATACATAATGCAAAAGTTTACCTGTGTCATTTCCAGCCATTCTTTACCACCTGGATGATTTTCAACAAATTTTGTTAGATCGTATAATTTATTATGGATCCTCCACAAGCCTTCTGCTCCTCCATCTAATCTTTGGCCCAATATCCATCGATCTGTTGATCTTGGGAGAACGTCTCTTAATGATGGATAGTGCGTGTGAGTATTACATTCACCTGAAAAAATATAAATAAATTAATGATAATATGAAATTTACAAATTTATCAACCTTTTATTATTTAGTCGTTCAATTTTATAAATATACACTGAGACTGATCTCACTTGGGGTTATCTGCACCACCCGGAACAAAGTACACATTTTAGAGAAATTTTAGATAATTATTTTAATACATATAAATACCGGTCAATTTATTTCTGATTTGAATTGCATTTTTGCTATTTCATATTAAAATAATAAAATGTAACGAACACTCTGAATATTTGAAAATGCATAATTGAAAGCCGTAAAATCATATACGCTCTTTCGCACACTAATTATTACGCATTATCTATGAATAAATTATATTTTTTTTTAATTTTGTAGTTTACATACCGTCAACAATGTCTCACATTCACGATAATAGAACTTTTGTTATGATATTAGGCATAGCAGAAATATTTCATATTGCTGAGGTTGTTAATTTCGATAAATATTAATTTGCAAGCATATTCATAACTGTCATATTTCTGCATGATTCTATTTTTTTGTTAGATCTATTTTATAATCTATGATATTCTTTATATTAGATAAGTATGGTTTTTATAACCGAAACAGCGATAACCTCAAGAGATCATCAATGCAAAATTACTTCAGTAGTTAACAAACTGCCTTGACCATAAACCTTGACATAGAACACAATACCAAGTTTTAGGATTTGTATATTCAATTTTCAGTAATTTTTACTTCTATTTTTACATTAATTAAATATTTTTCAAAATTAAGTTAATAAAAAGAACATCAAAATTACTAAAAATTTAATTAACTAACACATCATGTATTATTCACTATAATATTTTGTATATAAGTCCTTACTAACTTCCACTATAGTTTACAATTTATAATAGCAAATCAAAAAGTGTAAAGTATAATCTATTGTGATTGTATTGATTCCTTAAATAAATGTATTCATTTATTATCACCAATTTTATTTCATATAAATATATGACAACTAATATAATATCATAAAAAGATTAAAAATTCTATTACAGTTGAGAAACTTGAAACAAAAAGTTGGACTGGAATGTTGTTATTGATAATAACAACAATGTGTATGGAAAATAATATTGCATTAGCAATCAGTAAATATAACAAATAATAACTAAACTGCTAAAATATTCTAGATTCCGAAAATAAGCTGAGGTATTATTTGGAATTTTAATGTAGTATCGAAAATATGCCTTAAAAGTCATTTAGAAGAAATATTAATAATTAAATTACCATCGAAGAGTTCACGATATTCCATTTATTTTTTATATTTCAAATAATCGTTTAGTTAGATAAATAATTACAATAATTATTTAAATTTCTTGAAGAATTTTTGTCTCAGGCAATGAATTTTAAGTTATATAAATAGTTATAAATTATAATAGGTAAATTGAATGCAAATTTATGCTAACAAAAATATTGAAGAACGATTCACACTCATATATGTGTAGCAAAATTTCACAATCAATTTTGTTTTGCATTTTACTATATAAATATTATTTCAATATAAATAACATTTAACATATCAACATTTTTTACTCCTTGAACGATTGAAAAGTTACCTTCATACAATAGCTTTCTTTTGAAATTAACGCAAAGTAAACTAGTGGTGTACGGTATTGCGCACTAAGGCAAATTGCTGGAACTTCCCGTACCGTAACGAAATGATCGAGGAATATTGTTCTGAGGTATGTCAAAATGTTCAGAAGCCTCTGAAACGTGAAGTTTAGAAAAAATTTCCATTTTCGATTTTTGGCCCATTACTATAACTTACCCTGTGGGATGTTAAAAATATTAAAAAAAAAAATAATATTTTAGAATATAATTTGTTACACTATTATAGACCCAATAATTTAAGTAATGAACATTCGAAGAAAGTTGTTAAATTAAATATTTTGCCGCTCCCATAATACGACATCAGAAAGTCGCTGCGTCTACTTTGGCAATCATTGGTTTATAGTGACACGTGCGTTTTGTATATGAAGATATATCAAAATCTTCATTGGCATTCATCTTATTCGAAATATTATTATTCGATATGTTTCGACACATGATTTTATGACATCATGAGTTGATTTTTCATTTTGAAACTCACATTATAACACTGCACTACACTGCACTATATTAAAATGCTATGGAAAAGTTTCATAACGACTATTATTCAAAATAACTTTCTAAAGAAATTTAACACAGAATATTCAAATCAAATGGTAAACAAAATGTGAAAAATCAAAACGAATAAAAATGGACAGATAAAACAAATAATTAGTCGAATATTCAGGCATTCAAATAAAATAAGATTTAAAATGAATAGCAAAAACAATGACATTGCTTCCATTGGCTCATATTATTACAGTACATAAGTAAATATTTGTCAATTTATCTTTGAAATTACCAAAAAACGCCTTATTGTAAAAATATTGAATATGTTAATATGAAACGAAAAAATATGTTAAAAATATTATGTTTTTTATTATTAAACTAAATATATCACCATTAGGTATTTTACCTAAAAACGCATACCTTTATTCTCTGTATCCATTACACTAACTTGCCTTGAAATCAGTAATAAATATATAAATTATGTAAATTAAGTTAATGTATGAATAGCACTGCTAATAAACATTAGTATAGTAGATTGTGTATCACAGATATGTTATGAAATAACTCATACGCATGTTCTGCAATATAATATATAAGATTATCAGCAAACTGAAATCGTTGGTAGATGTCACATTTTTAACACTTTAGGGAAGACTGGGCATCTTCTAAAGTGGTCTAGGAAAGTAAACTATTGAGATTATTTACATACATTCACACATGGATACAAACACACACACACAGATATATATATATATATATATATATATATATATATATATATATATATATATGATGAAATACTTTATCTCCAAAATTGTAAAAGTCGATGGACCGGTTATTCCCGGTGAGATTACCATCAAACGTCAATACTCTTGCTTCCTAAACTCGTAAACTCTCCTAGTATCAAATGCACTAAAATATTTACTAAAATCAGAATTAAAGTAGTTGTAAGTAGCATTTTGCCTTAAGGCAAGTTGCATGAACTCCTGATACATAATTTACTTAAAACAAGAATTCAACTTCAGGTATTTAGGTAAATTTTTCACCTGTTATTTCAAAAATAATTTTTTGCTTTTCATTTCATTTTATTCATTTCTAAATATGTGTTTTATTTAGTGTGGACGTCAACTGTAATCAGTAGCTGCCTACGGAACGCTCAACGTGCATATAGTTTGGCTTAAGTGATTCATATTGGAATCGTATAAGCAAGCAGTGAAATTCTAAACTTTTATGAATTTTCATACCGCTTATCGTAGGCCTATAATATTATTTTGGTATGTTATAAGTTTTTTCCCAAATGAGTCCCAAATGATATCTTTCAAATAGTTTTAGTTGAATTTTCAAAATCGGTTCTGAATATTTCACGAAATTAAAATTATGCGCTTTCTGTTTATTCTGAAGAAACGGCTCAGCCGATCGTTGGCTGGTTTCTCGATTGAGTTTCATCAACTAGCTTTTAAATTTAGAATCACGTGTAACATAAATTATGTGTGTATGTGTATTTGTCAGCTTATAAGTGACTATATACATATTATAAGTTTGTTATAGGAAATTGATTTTTTATAAGATTGCTGTGATTTCTCATACCAGAATAATTGCCTGTCTGAGATACTGTATGCATGAATTATATAACAAGAATAAACTCATTTTCAGAATCACATAAAATGTCAAGAAAATTTAAAATTAACAAGTTCGATTTTTTGGCTAAGATATAAAATTCTACTTCTCTTCTACTTAAATGGAAATTTTATAATATTTCTCCTTAAAACAAAATTTCTTACATTTTTAATTTAAATTACATATATATACGTAAAAGAATAATATTCATGTGATATTATCTAAACACCAGATACTGATTGTTACTGCATTAATTAAATAAAAAAATATATCGCACAAGAAATTTAAATAATTCTGATCATACCCTAAAATAGTACAATTCTTTTCGTATACTTATTGGATTTTTTTTGTTAATTTTTAACTTTTAATTAAAATTTTAATTTTTATTTGCTCTATGTGACATCAGCCTTATAAATCTTACTTCATATAAATATTGCAATTTATTCAGATTAATATTCAACACGTTCAAAGTCTATCAACACAATTTAATACGTTATAGCTAGAACTATTGGTAATTAGTTTTTTTAATGATGATTGTAAAACAGCGTTGAACAATTAAAAAGAAATAAACTTTGAAATATAGCATTGATACTCAAAATGCAAATTCAAAGATAAATGACAAAAATGCAGCTAATTTTAAGTTTGAGGCCTATTTCATTCCAAGGATTCACCCAAATAAGTAAGCCAAAATAAGGTGGCCTAATATAGCACATTCTGTACGAACTACACTTTTTATTCTTTTATAAAAATATTTCAATTTATTATTGTTATATATACATATATATATTTAGTTAGATGTATGTTGACTGACTAGTTGACTATTATATCAAATGACTTATGTGTAGTATTTGTTGCTTTAGGCGGGCTCATATGTGACTTGTGCCCAAAAATTGATCAAAATAAGAACGTTGCTTTTTAAATTATACGTAGTTTTTAATAAATACCATGTTCTGGTTATCTGCCAATATTTATAATAAAATAATAAAAAAAAATCTAGAGAAAATACAAAGATATAAAACGGATGATTAAATCGCGAATCAAAAACTATTTTGAACAACCTGTGAGGGCGTCCATTAATCACGTGATTGATTTTCTAATGATTTTTGGACCTTCCACCCCCCTGGTAATACGTGCTGATATTCAAAATTAACCCCCCGCCTACCCCGACAAACATCACGTGTATCTTTAGTTACAAAATTTTTTGAAATTTAAAGTGTTTGGATTTTTTTTAATAAATTCAGGTAAAAAATGAAAAATACACGTAATATCTTACTAGACCGTCCCTTCCCCCACGTGATATTTCGTGATTTTTTGTCACTAAAACTTTTACAAACAGCATTTTCAAACGACATATACTTGTATTAACGTACAGGATACTATTAATAATTTCCCATAAATATTTTATTTGTATCGGAAAACCAGAACATCGAATGAGCCCAAATGAGAAATGCAATCAAATTTTTGTCCAAAACACTTAGTTTCCACTGATAATATTTTGTATAATTTAATTTAAGTAAAGTTATGCAAATTTCCTATTCCAATTCTTCTTATTTTTTTACTACATCAGGAGGTATCAAGTTCGGCAATGTCCTCAACAATTGACGAAACTGCCCTTTAACTAATTCCCATTGTGAAGTAAATCGTAAATGTATTCCAAACACTTCACAAACCTCCTCAAAGGCTGGATATAAATACGGAAGTAGTGCATGATCTAAAGTTGGGAACAAATGATGCAATCCATGATCTCCAAAACTTGTCAAAACCATAAACAAAGATCCTGTAACTTCATCCCTGTCCATGACAGCATCAAGTTGGAATTTTCCAAAATCTAGATCTTTTCTATGGGCATCGTTGTGGTGATAAATTTCTGGATGATGGTGAGCAGCGTTGTAACCGATTGCTCCAAAAAAGAAACTAGCAATCATAATAATTGTAAACCAAGTTTTTAGGGTAGAAATTATTGGCAAATTTGACATAATAATCATAGCCAACGGTAATGTATATGGAATCAATTCATGCCAAAATGGGGTGAGTAGATGACCTCTTTTGATCGCCGCGTTTATTCTGGAAGGTAAACGAATTTTAGGAGTATTTTGTAAAATTCAGTGACAATTATACATTTAGAATATTAATCTAATGAAATCCTGTCAAAACGTATATAAAATTTTTGAAATTATATTTTGAATTTAAATTTTTTGGCAATTTTCAAGATCTTGATGGAACCACACGTATATTGTTTCAACAAAACTTAATCAGAACTTTCAACTTAATGAAAAAAATCTGTTTCTTCGTTTTTTTTATTGAATATCATAACAAAATAACAGATTATCAGCAAATATTATGATATAAATTAATTATGTTATCATTCTGTATCTGTCTTATCAAAAATTAAATGATTTTGCATCATCTGGTATTTGCAGAAGGTGCATAACATAATTGATTTATGAAAAAATAGTTTTTAACTCAGCCTGATTTACTATGCAATACTACATACAAATACGTGCTTCATTAATAACATAAAAACAGTAGAACAAACTACTCAGGAAATGTTAAATAGACCTGGTAGATGGGTTTATGCGATATTACCGATTTTCTAACAAAAAAGATGTAGAGATGAGAGTTTAAACCTTACATAAATTTGTAGCCAAATGGTGATAATAAAACTTTGCCTGTCGCTTACTTTTTAATTTTTAAATCTATTTAAAAATGTATAAACTGAACATGTATTTTAAAATACATAAATATCTAAATGTACTAAAATATTAAATGTTAATTAACATCTAATATTTTAGTACATTTAGATATTTATATAAACATTGATATTCAGTAAAAATTGGGAGTCCTTGGCAAAGTCTAAGCTACGACTCAAACAAGTTTGGAAACCTACGCTTTATACCATGGCTTCTTAAACCATTTATTTATATATGCATGAAGTTTCCTAATAAATAATCATATAAAAATAATAATTTCTTTGTCTTTCATATTTCTTTGTCTTTCATATCATAACTTGCAATCATAAATAGCAATATCACGCAGTCAAATAATATATACCTGTAATAATATATAGCTGAATGTACTTTGTATAGTTTGCTATGAAAAAAAAAAAAAAAAAAAATAGTGTCGCGAATAAAAAAAGTTTAAGAAGCCCTGCTTTATACACCTTTCGGGGTATGTTAATTCTTTCTAATTTTTAGGGGTATATGAAATAATGTAAGTTTAAACTAATATGTTTTTACCTGAAAATATACTGCCCAATATAGATAATAGCATAAAACAATGGCGATATAACACAAGAAACATATTTCATGAAACCTTTATCTTTTGGTTGCCAACACAAAAATGGTTCAGCAGTGCTGCATTCCATATCAACCAAAGTATTCGGATGCAAATGATGGGATAAAACATGAGATATACGCCATTCCCTGAAATTAAATCAAAATTAGAAAAGATAAAGTAAACAATCTGCCAAATATTATTATGCATTTTCAACCTACCTACAACTTAATAACGTTAAATTAAAGGCATACATTCTCCAGTTATTTTTTTGGTGAAAGAAATTATGCGCTGCCACTGATGTCCAAGCTAAAAATAAGCCCGAGAGAAATACTAATGGCCAATAAAAAGTCGATAAGATCGAACTAATGAATGTTCCCAAAATAAGAAAATCAATAATTAATTTTGATTTTCTTCTTACTGATTTTGGCACACGTTTGATTTCTTCGCTCATACGTTGTTTTAGAGTTTTATAGAAGCCATCTTCATGAAATGTTAATAACGAGTGACTTGGTGTCCTTGCTTCACGTACAAAATATTTTGGTAATAATTTTTCTGCAGTCTTTGAAATGTGATGAGCTTCAAATGCTGCAGTGATATCCATACCCTATAAAAATCAAAAAATATATTAATAAGTTGATTGATTAACTTCTCAAAATAGACTTTTCAGAACAGGCAAGTATACATATAATAAATATTATTTACGTATAGTATACCCAAGTAGGTCTAAATAATATAACTAATATTGTCTTTTCAAGACACAAAAGCAATTTGATAAATATGACGCTAGTTTTCTTGAAAAACTGTTGTGTGCATAATTTTTAATAAAATGTTTTGTATATTAGACTTGATCGAATTCCTTGCTCTGGAATGACAGAATCATATTTTTTTCTTTTTAGCATTTTGTAACAAGACAAAAAAAAACGTGATAATAATAATGATATTTTATATTTGTAACAATATTAGATGCATTGATGAGTAACTTATTCAAACTAAAACCATTTGGATTCCAGATATTTTTACATTGGAAAGTTGGTCTGTTATAAAGAATTGTTTCATGTAAGTACATGTCGCATATATCATTTCTAGATAATTGATGGGATATTTATTTGTTTTATGTTTATGAAAGCATTTTTTTAAATTTTAGGATAAAACGGGACAAAGAACTTAAATTCGGGACAAATGATGCTTCCAGAAAATTCCGGGACGTCGAAGACAACTTTGGGACGACTGGTGACTTGGTGATCTTAATATTTAGCGCTTTAGTAAATTGTACTTAATTTAAGACTTATATTACATACCTTATTTTGGTGTATGTGTAAGTATAACATATTAACAAAAAGAGTGTTCGTAAGGTTCACACGCGATTGAAGTAAAACTTATTGTAATTACTTACTTACGGTTTGTCATTGTAATTAGCATTTAGGACTTGAACCTTCATTAGAGAAATAAAGTAATTGCCGCTTATTAAATTCTATTTTCACAACGCCTAAAGAAATATTGTTTTGACAATTTCACTCGTAATGTAATTGTGTTCGAAGAACTTCATGTAATTAAAATTAACATACATTCATTAACCGCTTGTATTTTTTTTTACTTTTTTGGTGGCTATACAATTTAATTTTTTGAGCAGCTGTAATATTTGTCTTGCCTTGCATAGAAATGACTAACAGTTTGGGCGTAACGCAACTTCCGTTGCATTTTTACATATTTACTCCTTAGTCGCGCCTAAAGAAGTTTAATTCAACAATATATTATTAAAATAAATCTAACTATTATTTACTTTCGTATATTCCAGCCATTCTTTGCCACCTGGATGATTTTCAACAAAACGCGATAAATCATACAATTTGTCATGAATTCTCCATAAGCCTTCTGCGCCTCCATCCAATCTTTGGCCTTCTAACCAATTGTCTGCAGTTCTGGGATGTTTATCCCTTAATGATGGATAGTGAGTGTGAATATCATATTTACCTAAAGCAAAAATTACAGAAAATCTTAACCAACAAATTAAAAATGTAAATATTAAAAATAGCCCTTAAAAAGCCACAAATGACCATTAAATGATTACATAAAAGACAAGTAATACGTTTTTGTTATTCTAATAGTAAATCAATATCACCATCTATTACTAGAATACAAATCTTTTGAAGATTTGATTGATACATAAAAATACAAAGTTGTATGAGGCATAATTTAACACGTGTAAGAGATATATGCATATATATGTGTGTGTATGTGTCTGTCGATAAAAAACTTTGTACACTAAATTGTCACTAATTATTAAAAAAAATCCGCAAAATATACGTGCGTGTTTTCGTGTACATAATATGTTTTATGTAACCTTCATTGATAAGTATATTTTTGTATCAGAAGTCTAAATAATGATTATTAAATTTTAGCAAATCATTACCAATTTATACTTTGCATGATAATAAAATACACACACATACACATGTCTTGACAAGAGCCTGAAATAATATCTATTATTATTGATTACGGCTTGCTTATGAATAAATAAATAAATAAAAAAAATAAATAAATATATATATATGTATATATATATATGTATGTATATATATATATATATTTATATATATATATATATATATATATTTATATAAATATGTATACACACATATATTAATAATTTAATATGTCTATGCTAGTTAAATTTTATGTAAAATTCAAATATTTATTGAGATATTATGATACAAAATCATTGAAAATATCACATTTTTTCATTGCATTATACATTTCAATATTCAAATTAACGTCATCATCAGTGAATATTAAACACTCGTATTTTATTTATTTCATGTAATCTATAAACATTGTTAGTACTAACATATGTTTCAGCAATTTCTCAGACATTATAAATTTATTTTGTTATGGTTTAAATATTAATGATAGGTTGTAATATTGAATGAATATTATTATTTTATTGTAATAATCATATATATTAATATATTTGACATAATAGTGTAATGCAAAGTGTAATGCAGAGTGTGTGAAGATCAAGCAAACTAATTATGATTATCAGCCACTAACGATGAAACATGATTATAAGCCGAAACGTTATATTAGTTTAATACGTGTTCATAAATGATACTTTGATTTGTTATTTTTTGTTCAATTGAATATTAATATTGTTCACCTTTACCCATTTTGTACTTTCTCTAAATTCAGTTTTTTATGCACTTTCTCAGAATAACGATTTATTTTTGTTCTTTTCACATTGATAATTATTAATTTTTCATGGTTTTGTTTATAATGTTCACACTAATAATATTAACTTTTAGAATGCATGTGGTTCTATCACAGATTTATCACAAAATAATTCAGTCCAATGTTTACAATATAATATACATATATTTTTTATCAGATAGCGAATATAATCCATTCTTATCGTATTTCGAACTTGAACCTTTCGAATTTGTTACGGTCCGGCGATAATTTCGAAATAAAATTTTTCGAAAATTCAAGTTAAAAAAAATCATAAAATATTCAAAATTTTAAAATATTTGATAATGTTCTTTAACTTTAAATATTTCTAAATTGTGAATAATACAGAACTGCAAGACCTAGCAAAGTTCTGGCGACTTTTAAGCTACAATATACAATACCAACCAACATCAAGAGTTTAAAAATGAACAAAAAATCACAGAAAATAAAATACTGTAAGCAAAACTATATATAATCTGAGGAGTATAATAAAACCAAAAAAGTAAATTTCAGAAGATGTGTTGATACCCATCTATCAAATGCTTTGGTCTTGTCTTTCATAATATTAAATATAAACTTTACATTGCAATAGACATCTTGGTCTTAATGAGTTAATTATTAAAATTTAATACACTAAGGGACAACGTGTTTAGGCAATATATATAAATCAATTATATTTATTATAAGTTTGTTTGAATTACACATCAACTAGAAATAGCATTAATTAGTTCTTAGTGAGAGCAAAAATTTCATTTTCAAAATATGTTTTAGTTGAAAATTTTATCTAAACATCTAAATCTCCATTCTTATTGATTAGGTTTATTATTTACATATATCAAGGAATTTATTCAACTTGCTTTGACAAAATGCCACTTACAACTAGTTCATTATAAGGACCACCTTACAGTAAGATAAGATAGTGAAAAGCAAAAAATCAATAAACATCGATTATAAATACATATTTACTATTTTATTGATTTTTAAAGTTACTTTTATATATGGCACTTAGTGAAAATAAGCTAATTTTATTAACTTATAGCAATCTAATTTTATTAATTTATAGCAAGTAGTAAGATAAGATAAAAAGCTTAATCGAGAATAATCTAAATATTTAAAAATAAAATTTTGATCTTTTATTCAGAGTTAGTAAAAATAAGCCAGTAAAAATATTTTGCATTTATAAAATTTTTAAAAATAATTTAAATCAAATTATTTTACAGCGGTCAAAATATTTGAAATATCCGCCTCGCCAAAATAATTTATTGTGAATCGATTAATCGATTAATTTTCATTGATAGTTTAATTATTTGATTTAATTCTTTAAGATCTAATTGTTTATGAAGTGCTGATCTTATTATTTCTTCGTCAAAATGTGTCAAAATCACAGTCATCTAATAAAGATACAAATTGTAGTGTCTCCCAAATATGCAATTGATAAGATAAGTAATTATATCTTGCGTGCTGAAAACTTGTTTACATAATCGTTGCGAACAGTCATGATCATAAATTATAGGTTTATCGGTATTGAAAAATACAATGGACACACTTAGTCATAAATATTGAGCGAAATTGAATCAACAATATTTTGTACATCAATCATTTCAATTTAAGCCACCGGGCTAAAAAGAAGTAATGGCTCTAATATTTGATACTGTTTTAAAAGATATTACAGCCACATTAGCTGTAATTTTTGCAATTATTTATATTTATTTCCTAAACGCGTTTTCGTATTGGTCTAGAAGAGGTATACCGACAATTAAGCCAAGTTTTCCATTCGGAAATGTCGCGCCCATGTTCACTTTAAGGAAATCTATGGGTGAAAATGTGACTGATTTATATAACAGAATCAAAGCTCCATTTTTTGGAATGTATGTGTTTGCAACACCGAGATTAGTTATTAAAGATCCACAAATAGTGAAGTTGGTTTTAGTTAAAGATTTTCAACATTTCCAAGATCGTGGAAACGAGATTGACCCGGAGAAAAATGCTTTAGTAGCACATTTGTTCAGCTTAGCAGGCAACCACTGGAAAAACTTAAGGAACGCATTGACACCTGCGTTTACTTCTGGAAAATTGAAAATGATGATGAACACAGTTATAAAATGTGGTGAAAATCTGCAATTATACCTTGAAGAAAAGGCTAAAGGCCAGGAAGTTTTGGAATTTAAAGATCTAGCAGCGCGTTACACTACAGATATCATTTCTTCAGTGGCAATGGGAATTGATGTTAACTCCATAAAAAATCCAAATGATGAGTTTCGAAATATCGGTAGAAGGATCTTCGATTTTTCTACTACTTGGGAGGCTATAAAGAATATTATGTTTTTCACTTCACCAGAGTACTTGAAGACTCTTAATATATCTGTGGTTAAGCCAGATGTACACGACTTTATGACAAATGTAGTTGAGCAAACTGTCAATTATCGAGAACAAAGTGGTGTCATGAGAAATGATTTTATGCAGCTTCTGATACAATTGAGAAATACTGGTAAAATTAGAGACGATGATGACATGAAAGTAGAAATTCAGAGTAAGTAAACTGTAATAGCAATGTATTAAAATGTTAAAAAATCCTGAAAGTATTCGAAACGAGGTTTACTCTATCCAATCGTTGAGCCAAATTCCAATGATAAAATCGAAATTTATTTTTATTCTAAAATATTGTGTCTCCACAGTGGTTGTCGAACAATTCAGAATAACTAGAGAGGTCGCGAAAACAAAATTAACAAATTGGATTGGAGTTTTATAACGATAACATAAAGCTAATTATTCATGTGATTTCAATAACTCACCATAAGGAAAGGTAGTTTAATGAGTTATTTCCAAATTTCAGAGGAGAAACAAATGTCCCTGGAAGAGATAACCGCAGAGGTGCATCTATTCTTCCTGGCTGGATTTGAAACATCGTCAATAACAATGTCATCCTTCTTCTACGAAATGGCAAGGCATCCAGAAATTATGAGGAAGGCACAAGCCGAAGTAGATTCTTGCGTCGCAAAACATGGAGGATTCACATATGATGCAATGAATGAGATGAAATATCTGGAAAATTGTATAAATGGTAAGTTAAATAAATTTATAATTGAAATGCTTAAAAACAATGATTGGCAAAAATTATAAAATTTTCCATATATTATTGGAGTTTTGCTAAATGCATTGTATTGTTGATTATGATAAAAGTGTAATTGAGATAACAAAGATGACTGTTATCAATTTAGTACAATTCCTCTAAATATTTTTCAGAAACTCTTCGCATTTACACTGCCCTGCCATTTCTACTACGCCAGTGCTCCATTGACTACAAAATTCCTGGACATGATGCAGTAATTCCTAAAGGAACCAGAGTGTTGATACCATTGATGGGTTTACACAGAGATCCTGAATATTTTCCAGATCCGTTGAAGTACGATCCTGACCGTTTTAGTGATGAAAGAAAAGGATCCATTGTTCCTTATACGTATATCCCTTTTGGTGAAGGAAAACGAGCCTGTATAGGTGAGATAAATTAAAACAATAGACAATAATTGGTAATTGGAAAGAAAATTTAAGCAATAAATAAAATAGAAAATAGACATTTTATATGAGTAAAAATAAATTTAATCAATTTTGTTTATCAGTAATTTATGATAAACTTCATGTACGTCCAGTTTAAATGTTAAGACATTACCTGGAGGTAACTCCTTAATGTGAGAGCATCTTCTATTTCTTGAACTTTTGCTTTCAATCTACTGAGTACTACTTTTTCATTTGCTACCTTCTTGGATGCATTTTATTTTCCCAAATCTTCTCCAATACTACACACAACTCCATATTTCTGACTGGCAGCATGTAAAAAAATTAAAATATCATACTCATTACATTTTTTTTGTATAAACATTTATGATTTTAGATTACGAACTATATATCTTTTACACCTCTAGGTATGCGTTTAGGAAAAATGCAAGTAAAAGTTGGTTTAGCAATGGTGCTTCAAAAATACGACATTCTGAAATGTTCCAAAACATCCACAGAGTTTCAACATGATCCAACAACTGCTGGTGTGGTTCACTTAGGAGGAATTTGGCTAAAGGTTGCTCCTCGTAAACAATAAAAAATGATATTAATTTAGAAATAATTTTTATACTAAGAATACTTTATATTTGCTCGTATTTTCAGCAACAAATGCTATATAATTATATAAAATAGAAGAAAAACAACTTGAAAAGTCGTGACGGTATATTTATGTATGAATATTTTTAGCATTATTGTAATTTATCGAATAATAGGTAATGTTTATTTAGACATGAATTATAATATAAATGGATTCGGAAATAATATATGTACAAAAAAACTCATAAATAAATTATAATTATGGCAATCATTTAGATAAGCATTTGTTCTATGATATGTCTTTAAGCATTCGTTCTAAGATATGTCTTTTCAATTGTCTTTAACGATGTAATTATAATCACTGTTCATTAATTTCTGTTAATATAAATGATTGTATGATGACATAATAAATATTTTATCATATATAAGATGTCTATGATATGTCTTTTAGCATTCGTTCTAAGATATGTCTTTTCAATTGTCTTTAACGATGTAATTATAATCACTGTTCATTAATTTCTGTTAATATAAATGATTGTATGATGACATAATAAATATTTTATCATATATAAGATATGCCATTATGCGATATGAAATCGTTTGGATTCGGCGTAAAAACAACTTTATCAAAATCATGAATAAGCATTATTTATGAAGCGCGTTAACAGTTGATAATCTGTGGTATATTTTTGGCAAAGTAACACGAAAAAATAATTGATATGTACTAGTCGTGTAATTATAATATTTTATTGCGTGAATAAAAGTGAAAAGGTGAAAATGTTCGACTTTATCCAATATGTGTTTGAAGTTTTGGTGGCCGTTCTGGTGTTAGTACTTGCAGCAACTTACGTATATTTCAAACACTCTTTCACATTCTGGGAAAAAAGAAATATTCCATCAATTGCACCAACTTTTCCTTTCGGAAATGTAGAACCTGTGTTTAGATCCAAAAAATCAATGAGTCAAAATATAGCTGATTTATACAACAGCATAAAAGCGCCATTCTTCGGTATTTATGTGTTTTGTATACCCAGATTGGTAGTAAAGGATCCAGAATTGATCAAGTTAATTTTGGTGAAGGACTTCCAATATTTCCAAAACAGGGGCAATGAATTTGACTCAAAATCCAACGCTTTGCAATCGAATTTATTTAGCATATCAGGAGATTCTTGGCAAAAATTAAGAAATGCTCTGTCACCGGCATTTACATCGGGAAAACTTAAAGCTATGATGGAGATTATTATTAGATGCGGTAAAAATTTGCAAGAATTTCTTGAAGAAAAATCCAACAGTAAAGAAGAACTCGAATTCAAAGACTTGGCTGCAAGATACACAACAGATGTAATTTCTTCAGTAGCTTTAGGCAATGAAGTAAACTCAGTGAAAAATCCAAATCACGAATTTCGCGAAATTGGCAGAAAAATATTTAATTTACCCACAAGATGGGATGTTGTCATGTCCATTATGTTTTTCATGTCACCTGAAATCCTGAATAAATTTAAATTGGCAAATATAAGTCGTGAAGTTTATGATTTCATGATGAATGTTGTTAGACAAACAGTGACCTTTAGAGAAGAAAATAATATAACAAGACCTGATTTCATGCAACTTTTGATTCAGTTGAGAAATGGTGGTGAAATTACAGATGATGATGACATGAAAATCAAAGTACAAGGTAATAGAATGATATCATAAAAAATGATAGCCAACAAATGTTTTTTTGATACCTATACATTTTTGAGTATTTTATAAAAAAATGTATACATTAGGGTGGTCCTTAAAATGGTCATTTTCGAATTTCCTTGCTCCCATGATCTCAAATGGTTCCAAATTGATAAAAAACAATTCTCTGAAAGTTTTGGCTCTTAATATTGTCTTTTAGATAGAGCGCAATTCAATCAAAGTTGTGTATGGAAATAGCATGAACAAATTTTCAAAAATTTTGAGCGTAGAATTTTCAATAAAAATGACACAAATTTTCACTTTTAATTCATTTGTCGCTAAGTTGTACCTAAAAAATTTTTTTTTCATGCTATTGCCATACGAAGTTTGATTGAATTGCGCACTATCTAAAAGTTAATATTAAGAGCTAAAACTTTCAGAAAATTATTTTTCATTAATTTGGAACCATTTGAGCCCTTGGGAGCAAGGAAATTAAAAAATGTCTATATTAAGGACCACCCTAATGTATATGTATGATTCTTACTTGCGATTCTTTCAGGAGAAAAGCAGTTATCCTTGGATGCTATAGCATCAGAAGTGAATTTGTTCTTCTTGGCTGGTTTCGAAACATCTTCTATAACAATGTCATCATTTTTCTATGAAATGGCACAAAACCATGACATCATGCGAAAAGCTCAAGCAGATATTGATGCAAGTGTCGCAAAACATGGAGGTTTTAACTATGAAGCAATGAATGATATGAAATATTTGGAAAATTGCATTAATGGTAAGAAAATTACAAACAAATGTATATGACTGTAGTCTTACCCTAATATATCTATGTTATGATTGAAAATTTGCATTTGCTCTCCATGATAATATATAATTTTGATTCTTTACCAGATTCTGATTCGTACAGGAACTTTAGTTAATAGAAGGCCAAATGCTTTTTAATGCCAAAAGATTGTTTTTATTACAGAAACTCTCCGGATTTATACAACGTTACCATTCCTTGTTCGCGAATGCTCAATAGACTACAAAATTCCTGGACACAACGCATTCATTCCAAAAGGCACCAGAGTATTGATACCGTTAATGGGTCTCCACCGAGATCCAGATCATTTCCCAAACCCAATGAAATTTGATCCAGACCGATTCAGTGATGAGCGTAAAGGTTCCATAAAACCTTATACATATTTTCCTTTTGGAGAAGGAAAAAGGGCATGCATTGGTAATAAAGAATTACATCAAAATAATAATATTGTTATGAAATATGTTATAGAATTTTACTTTTAGGCATGCGTTTGGGAAAAATGCAAGTGAAAATGGGATTGGCAATGGTGCTTCACAAATTTGATATTTTGAAATGTTCTAAAACATCAGAAGAATTCCAGCATGATCCTACTACTGCGGGTGTTGTACATTTAGGTGGAATCTGGCTGAAAGTAGCTAAACGAAAAGTTTAATGAGTAATAGATAATTAGTATCAAAATTCGTCTAGTTTATACTCACCGAGAAAACATTGATTCTTAATTAAAAATATTTTAAAATGCGCAAATCACGTAGATGATTTGCACTTCAGTCAGTTGATGGTCAAAATTTTGAGCCATTTTGAGCCGAATTTCTTTCATGTTATTTTCTTTCCGTCGTTAATCAAGTCCATTATTATTTATAGTCGGACTTTTCACTTGACGTTGTTATTTCAAAAAAAGATTCCACCTCAGTTTTGTGTTCATTTTTAACTTCTTCACTGTATTTGCATATATTCAACTATGTTGGTACATTTAATCTTAGTCAGGATATTTTTGTCTTAATCCAGGATATTTTAGTCCTGATGTATTATTATTATAAGTAGTTTAATACTAACTTATATAAATAAGAATTCCAAACTCTTCTATAACATATTATAATTATTATAAAAAAAAATTAATTGAGTAGCTAAAATCGAATAATACGAACAAAAAAACTCGATTGAAATATCGATTGATAATTGCAGAACTGATATCACTGAGCTAATATTTTGACTCAGGAATAATTACATTTGCATATTAAGTAAAAATGCAAATTTCGCCAAACATTAATTATTTTTAAAATTTTTAGTAATAAGGTGCAGTATAGCATTTTATGAAATATTTATTTGTAAATTCGATGTATTTCTAAATACATAATTATAGATAATTAATTTTGTAAATAAAAATCAGTTGTATCCAACGTATTTATTTAAAGTGATAACCTTTTAGTCGTTAGTAAAACTTATCTCTAACAGATTGTACCAAAATAATTGTGCTGGTCATTTAATAATATTGTCACATCATCGTTCATAACAAATCCACTACGAGTTTGAATTTTTGTGTACTAACATAAACTTGTATTAATTCTAATTGGTGTAAAATTATAATAAACATTTCAGTTACTAAAAGAAGCCAAAACTTCAAAATGATATTCTTAAATAATGTATTAACAGTAATTATTGCAATAATTGTAATAATTATTACAGTAATTTATAGTTATTTTTTGTATTCATTTACTTATTGGAAAAGAAAGGATGTACCATACATCCAACCTTCTTTTCCATTTGGTAACATAAGTGCAATGTTTTTCCGAAAACAGTCAATGAGCCAAGTGATGTCAAACTTATACAACAGTGTCCAAAAACCATTTTTTGGTATATATGTATTCCTTTTCCCACGATTGGTGGTAAAAGATCCCGAGTTAATAAAAATGATAATGGTAAAAGATTTTCAGAACTTCCAAAACAGAGGAAATGAGTTTGATCCCAAAACAAATGCTTTGGCATCGAATTTATTTAGTTTATCTGGTGAGGCTTGGGTAAAATTGAGGAATGTTCTATCACCAGCTTTTACATCTGGAAAACTGAAAGTTATGATGGAAACGATCACAAAATGCGGAGAACAACTTCAAGAACATTTATCAGAAAAGGCAAAGAACAGTGAAGTAGTTGAATTTAAGGATTTGGCAGCAAGATACACGACTGATATAATTGCATCAGTAGCTTTTGGAATAGACGTAAACTCTGTAAAAAATCCTGACGACGAATTTCGACAAATTGGTAAAAAGATCTTCCAAGTATCCAATTATAAAGACTTTATCGTGAAGTTATTGTTCCACAATTGCCCGGAATTGATAAATTTATTAAGAATTTCAATTATTAATGCTGATGTGTACAAATTTATAATGAATATTGTACAACAGATTGTGACTCTTAGAGAGAAAAAAGGAGTAGTGAGAAATGATTTTATGCAGATGCTCATACAGTTACGGAATTCAGGAAAAGTTAATGAAGATGATGGCATGAAAGTTAAAATCAAAGGTAGGTAAACTTATTTTTTTTAATAATAATATTTAACGATCCAGTTGTGGAAAAGTGGAAAAAATGCAGATTAGTTGCTGGTTGCTCCCAACCTCGCCTAGATCGGTATCAAGCAGTATGACGCTGGACATCACTAATCACCACGATCATAAGTCATATTAGTAAAAGCTACTATAAAATAATTTACATTTCAGATGCAAAGCTTTTATCGATTGAAGCAATTGCTGCTGAAGCTCGCTTATTCCTTGCAGCAGGTTTTGAAACATCTTCAATGACAATGTCTTCATTTTTTTATGAAATTTCCCAAAACCCATACATTATGAAAAAAGTCCAGAATGAAATCGATACTTGTGTTAAAAGGTATGGTGGTTTTACATATGAAGCCCTGAACGATATGAAGTATCTGGAAAATTGCATAAGCGGTAATCAGCACTAACACCTAATTAACCATCAATACAAATAATTTACCCAATATCAAATTAATTCTCTCATTCTATTTTTAATAGAAACATTACGTCTGTATCCTGTTTTGCCTTCACTGACAAGGGAGTGTTTAACTGACTACAAAATTCCTGGAAGCAAAACAGTAATTCCGAAAGGTACCAGGGTATTGATTCCGCTATTGGGATTGCAAAGGGATCCTAAATATTTTTCAAATCCTGAAAAGTTTGATCCTGATCGATTCAGTGATGATCGCAAAGATTCAATTACACCATACACATACATGCCATTTGGTGAAGGAAGAAGGGCCTGCATAGGTAAATATATATAGTCACATGGTATACATTTTGGGATTAAAATTTTTAGTCATGAAAAAAAAAATGATTTGAAGTAAGAATAAATCAAAAATAATAGAAGTAAGAATACATCAAAAATAATATTTAATAGCAAGCAACGATTCTATTTTTACGAATCAATTGAATGCAGATGAAATTTAAAGTAATTCACAAATAGTGATAGTTCTAAAAGAAAAAATTATAAACCACTTTACCTCTAATTAAATCCTATTCATCATGAAATCAAGATTAATTTTGCAGCAAAATATTTATTTAATTGATGAAGTTGAAACTCAAATTATTCCATGATGAATAAATATTATAAAACAACCCACATAGATTTATTTAGATTTTAAGTGGTTCATAAATATTCTTATGTGTCATAATATTTGAGTTTACGAATACTATACAGATGAGATGGCGTAAGAATTTACTTAATGACGTATGTTAATAGCAAATATAAGAAACTTTCAATTGGCGTGCGCTCTATCTAAATGTTTATATTAAGAGCTAATACTATTAGAGATTTATTTTTTATGCATTTGGAAGCGTTGGCGCTCTTGGGAGCAAAGAAATTCAAAAATGTCTTTGTTAAGGACCACCCTAATATATAGAGATCTACAGAATTACATTTCTAATTCCATGATGTTGTTGTTTTATCCATTAGTAAACACATGCAATAATTAAATTATATACATACATAAAAAGGAAAAAAATCTAGATTTAATAAAGCTTATCAATTTTCAGCACTTGCTATTTAAAAATTAACTTTTCTTTTTTTAGGTATGCGATTGGCAAAATTGCAAATGAAAGTTGGATTGGCTATGACATTATATAAATTTGATATTTTGAAAAGTGCAAAAACTTCGCAGAAATTTCGACACGATCCAGAATCATCAGGAGTTTCACTTTTGGGTGGAATTTGGCTCCAAATTGCACACCGAAAATAAAAATTACTGTTTTCATCATCAATAATAATAATCTATATGAGTTCATTTCCAAATGACGAATTTCTTATAACCTAGTTTTATAGATAAGTATTTTTTTAATTTTATAATATTTTTATATATTTAAATACTAGTTGGTGTATGGCATCGTGCCTTAAGGCAAATTGCTGGAACTTTCGAGGAATATTAAATGTTTTCAAATTAATTATTATAAATACTGTAACATTGCCTAATATTTATAAGAATTATATGAACTGAATCACAAAGTTAAAATTATTTACTTGGAGTATATAAGTGAGCTTTAGAACTAGCCATTATTAAAATTAAAATCTGAATTATTTTCGATATACAAAAAAATTTTTTTTTCGAAAACAATGGAATTTAAAAATACCTGGCCAAATTATTCAAATTGATATAAAATTCATTTATGATATGATAATGATTTCTGCGCAACATTTTATGAATGAAGATGATATAATAAACAAAATAAACGTCCGAAATATTGCCAAAATAGTTTTATTACAAATCACGAATTTTCATTAAAATATTCTATCATTAAATTAGTTAAACTATTAAGTCTAATTTAAACTACATGATTATCAACAAGTTAAGTTATTATACTACACTTATATTAATATTAATATAATATTAATAGACTTTGTGAATGTCTTAACAATGTGCGCAGAAATATTTAATACTTTTAATAATACTAAAGTTGATCAAAATCACAGAAATCTAGATATAAGAAATATTTGAAGTACTAAATTAGTTATTTACAGTATTAGAGCTAAAATTGTATTTTTATAATTGTAGCATAATTGATACCTTCTTTTAATCCACGAGAATTATATATTTACAAAATTTTAAATATTTTAGACCGCTAGGATAAAAAATGTATATGAAGAATATATCTGGGCCTATTATATTTAAGTTTTGAGTTGCTAAAATAAAATTTCTTTGAATGTATTTTCTTTTTTTTTGTAAAATGTGAATTTGTCTTTTAATTTTAAACGATTCGTTACTGGTATGTCGCATTTGTTTCAAATTATAATAAAATAGATTTGTTGGAGGTATTTTTTATAAGAGTTACCTACAACCTTGTAACCGTTTTGGATATCTTATTTATATTTTTTAGAAATGTATTATTTTAAATACTGCTATTATGGTATTCCTATAAGATACAGTTTCCCAAAAATTGTTCATAATAAACCTATGTTCATATGATTTTTAGTTTAGTACATAAATCATGGTCCAATAAAAATTGCAATGTTTAAAAAACAGTACCTATAAAAATGATCTTATGCTATATTTTTATAATAAAATAAACTTCATCATAAGTTCATTAACTTTAAAATATTGTCTATATTGTTTATATACATTATATGTTCATATGTACAAACTGTTATAAAGATTCATATCACAAGTTTCGTTTTTATTTTACTTGGTTCTTTTGTAAAAAATATTTATGGTTACTGGTCGAAAATAAATAAATAGTCTTAATTAATACTAACTTCTAGAAGTTTTAATGAGTAGATTTATCTTAAAATTTAACATTTTTTGCACAACTTTTGGCCAAATGAATTTTTGCACAACGTCCCATGTCTTTTTATTCGAATTACTCTTCTAGGATTTTGATAAAACTTCTCATGACGATAGAGTTGATAGTCAAATTGAACACATTAAAATATTATAGGCCTATGAGCGAAGGTTTAATTATGAAAAATTTCAAGGTGTTCGGTTTGACTATTGACTCTATTTCTAAGCCAAAATTCTTCAAAATCACAGAAGTGTAAATCAAAGGTTCTCCTTGTAAGTCATGTATATTGACACAAGATTGATACAAGATTTAAAAAAAAACACGAAATTTAGATAGATTTCACTATAAATACGCAAATGAATTTTTACAAATATCAATTTAACAAATAACCATTTAATAAAATATTAGTGGTAAAGGACTAAATATCTAATAAATATATTTAGATGTTCATTAACCGAAACTGAATTTTTTACAACCCATAATTAGTCTGACCGACAAACCTAATAAGTTTAACATTACCTATCAAAATATCATTATGTAATTCTTTAAGATATTTACAATAGTGCCTTTTGAATTAAACTTATATTTATTAACAATTGTGACCTTAATAATAATTCTATAAACAATTAAATAATAAATTTAATCATACTTATGTATGATTAACGTGGTAAATTAAGTACCATGAACTATATTGCTTATATATAAATATCTGAATGATGATATCTGATATCTGTACATAATCACACAAAATATCATCATGTGTGATGTTTAATCCATATTTGCAGATAATTTATAAAACTAGATTTGTTTCAAATATATTATCACAAATCTATAATGTCCACATTTGTAGTGTAAATACTATGAAATTTGCTATTTTTCATTTAAAAAGTTTCAACAAAATTAGACATATTTTCTAATAGTGATTAAATAAATTTCTATACAAGAATATATCAAATTATTGAAAAAAAAACTAATTTATATTTAAAAAAATAGTAAGTCTTCCATACGTTTCGATAGACAATTGACTTATTTTGAGTGCATAATTTGTAGACTTGTATATACAATACAATTTTATACATAATTTTTTTATTTTTTGTGTTTGTCAATAATTTGTGGTTTTAGGCATTAAATAATAGTCAATTTTCAACTCGAAATGTATGGAAAACTTACACATAGGTTAAATTTTTCTTTTCAATAATCGAATAAATGCCTGTATAAAAAATTATTGTTTACTATTATATATTTCAAAAACTAATGTATGTATATATACGATATACGTATATATATATATATATATATATATATATATATATATATATATATAAATTCAAATCTCAAACTTTCAAAATCATTATATAGTCCACGATTCATAACAATTACCCAAGCATTGTTGAATAGTCCGTTGTAATATTATTTGTATTTAATTCACTGTTTAAACACCAAATATTTTTAAAACTAAAATCCTGATTAAAAGGCTCACCTTCGTAATATTATTTACAATCACCTACGATTTTTTTCAAAGTCTCGTTTTGTCTTCATCCACAGGTACCGTCCAAACTGCAGCATTTGTTGGATCCAGAGCACTTACCTTATTATTAGGCATTTCAGGTACTACTTTTTCTGAAACTTCTGGTGTCCTTAAAATCAGAGTGAAAATGCCTCCTACAGCAGTCAGTGCGCCAAAAGCGGTCATTGATGCTGGCACCCCAAATATAGACTAAAAATAATAAATAAAATAATTTCTAATACTTAACATCAAAACATCTTCACAACAAAAACAGAAAAAAAATTACCAGGACTCCAATAAAAGGTCCACTAAGCAGCCAAAATCTAGCCCAAGTGACAGTAGAAAATCCAGTCATGGGTCTCATTTCAGGAAGAACTAATTCACTTGTGCAAGCAAACAATAATGCCAAGGTTGCTGATAGAACTATTTTGCATGGCATTGCCATCAGCATCCAAGCAGCAATTTCATAGTTGCCGGATACTGAGAAAAAAAAAATTCTTACTCATCTATGATAACATTGCAATAATCTTAGAAAGTAGGATTGTGCTCAGCGAGTTGGCAAGAATTACAATTAATTGAAATATTATATATATATACTAGCTAACCCGGCGAACTGCGTTTCGCCACCAGATGGTTTCGTAAGAAAGATAAAGAATTTTTTTCTTTGTTTTATATTTGAAAAGAAAAAATTTTATTTCGATTACAAAAATGAAGTGTTTTTTAGTTAAACTTTTTATTATCCGTTTCATTAAAGTGCTCTATGGTAAACCACATTTTTTGTTTTTTGGTTTGACGTTAACACAAACAAAGCGAATGGTTTTCCAACTCGTGAACAGGCAATGTAAAACTGCCCATGTGAAAAACAATGATTTTCTAAATAATCTATTTGAAATTTATCCCGCAAACCCTAAGCGATTGGCCTTGCAACTTGTTATTGCAAACGCTAGGCAAACTGGAAATTGCAATCGTTTGAAGTCAAACGGAAGACCAGTCGGAATCATTGGTATGTCACCAAATCGCCAGTAATTTTTGATTGAATGGTGAAATTCGGCGCGTGTATATCATTATTCTTCACGGCAAGAATTGCTCGTTGACTTAACCAAGCATAATTCTGATAATTCTCACTAATGTCATTACTCGGATTTTTAATTACGGTGCGTGAAGTTCCAGCAATTCGCATTACGGCACAATGCCATGCACCACTAATTTTCTTAGCTATAAACCTTGTGGAGCCCGAGACCTTTCCAACGAATGCAAAATTATCGAAATCGGTTCGTTCTGGAGTTATATCGCCAGGAAGGAAAACGCGACTTATTTTTATATATATGTAGATATAAGAAGACACTTATACTGAATAAAAACTGTTCATCTTAAACGTAGTCTAAAATAGCATATGAATCTTTTAGAAGATTAGCTACTCAAATCGAATGTTAAATACAGGATTACGACTTGAAAGACAAATTAATATTCTACAATTTAAAATAGCAACTTATTCTTTACAAAACCATCAGTTTGCAAAGAGATACACATGGTTGGCCATGGATGATGAATTTACGTTCGAAGATAAGATTTTGTATTTTCAAAATCATTTAAGCATATGATAGCTTGTTATCAGTTATTTCATCTTCTGAGCTAGTATAATATCAACAACTTATATCAACTTACAGGTACTAGGCAGGAACCACGAGAAACAAGATATCAATCCACCAACGATTGACAAATGACCTGCCCACACCCACTTCTTTTTGGTAAACATAATTATAAGCATGCAGATCGTCACGCCGAGAATTTCACATATTCCTAAAAGTAAAAAACTTTATAAAACCAATATTTTTTATAAAATTATTAATAGAACATAATCGAGCAGGCATACCACATGTCTATATATAACAAACTATCGCAACTCCCACAAGAACTAAATGATAAGAAAATATTATCAGAAAAGTTTATCTACCTGCAATAGCTGTGTTTATGTACAGATGATCTCTACCAAAACTTCTAATATTCAGCAAAGTTCCATAATAACAAGTTACATGAATTGGCCATGAAACATGTAGACCTAGCTGATTAATTTTGGCTCTTGGGCCTCTAAAGATATGAGACCATTTTGGTGGTGGATCAGCTGTTTTCCTGTTAATAATAATTAATAAAAATGAACAAACTGATACGCATAATAAGATTAATATTAAAAAATAAATATGGCTTACGCTGCTGCAGCCAATCCTTGCAGTTGGACTTCCAAGTCAGAAGGCAAGTGCTCTTGGCGTTTATTGACTCTGGCAGCATCTTCTAAAATCCATTGAGCATCTAATACGTAGCCTTTTTTGATCATCCATGAAGGTGAGTCAGGTACCCATCTAAATAGAATTGAAGATTGAATAAGGTTTCAATATATTAATGAAGCAAAAAAGCAAAGAGTTACTAAAACGTTTGGATAATAATTTGAAGCTGTCCAACCATATTAGTGGTTTTAGTCAAATTTAGTTTTCAATAAATATATTTTAAATCTTCGTACTTACTTAAGTAATAATGATAAGAATACAGTTGGTATGGATATGGCCATATAGAGATGAGACCAACTGGTAAACATACTAGCTAAACCCGGAAGCATAATAACACCTATTGACCAGAACTGCTCATACAGTGCCAGAGCAGCAGTTGTATATTTGCCTCCGGTAATATCACAGACTGAAAAAATAACGATGTCAATTATAAAATAAGTAGTTAACATCTATAAAACTTCCAAAAAATATTCAAGGATCGAACCATTGTCTCTTTAATTAGGGAGCATCTCAATATTTCATCTTAGCAACGATTAAATTATTTCAAATGAGAATGGGTTTTTTTAAATCAATCTGGATTAATATGCGCGATATCAGGATTAATAATAGAAGTAAGAACAGAAAATAACTATGTCTAGAAACCCTATAATCTCATTGTCTAGAAAATTAGAGAAATTAGATTTTTTATTTTAATAGACAATGTAATATTTACGTATAACATGCGAATTGGTTTCTTCTAGTTTTACATGTGCACCAAAAAGTTTTCTTAATTGGGTTTCTGCTAAACCAGGGTATTGATGTATTATATCCGAACTCATAAAGACTACATACTCTAAATCGCTTGGGGGTATTTTCAAGTCTATAACTTCCTACAGCCTGTAACAGCGATTCTCAATATCCACATAATTATTTCAAAATTTAGAATATTCAGTTAAAAAATCAAATAAATAATACAGTTCTTCAACTAAACTTCCAAGTCTTATATTTTTTCTTCAAAAACCATTGTAGCAAATTCTAGAAAGTTCAAAACTTTTTGGCCATTCATTGCTAGTTTTTAAATTTTCAAGACAAGATATTTATTTTATCATTAACATTAAAGAAATAATTTAATTTATAAAAATAGTCAAAAGTTTTAAGTTCGAGTCAACCAACTCTTGAAAAATGGAAAAACTCCGATCTAAGAAAAATTACTTGGTTTACAATACAGAAATCTATTCTACAGTCGGTCAAGTAAGAGCGTGGCCGGGTTAATTTATAAAAATAATTATTTTATGAATCTTTAATATTTATATATGCATTGTATACGTTAAAAGCAAGGATGCAATTTGGTCAATATGTGTCCAGTCACCACCGGAGTGGACAATTGGCTGGCATCTCCGACGCCTGCTTTTTACTAATTTAACGGATTATTTTAGTCTGACGGCTCTATGAGGGGCAGGGGATATTAATTTAACGGCTCGATGAGGGCAGTACGTGCTCCTATAGAACTTTCAAAAGTGTAAATGACATTTTCAAAATCTCTAACAATATTTTCATGTGCTCAAGCGGAAAAGAAGCACATGTTTTTCAGTCGTCAGAGGCTTCCCCGTTGTGTTGCGCCATTTCAGATCATGAATACGAAGAAAGGTTCAGATAGTTTTGTACATATATCTGTAGATATTTCTAAACATTTTGCCATTAATTTTGCTCATCCTTGCTGCAGTGTTAAAGCAGGATTCAGCAAATACCCATTCACTGTTCTTTTTTCTTCTTTTTTATTTGAACCACGTTCTGATAAATCATCGACATGTTTAGCAACTTTATATAGGTGTATCGAATTCTGTACAAATGCCTTCAACTTTCTCATATGTTTAGCAGCAGCTGATTGCTACATTTGATTTCCTTTTAGGTGCATGCAAAAGGGCGCAGCCTCGTAGCGCGACGCGTAACTTAGCACTCATGGCGTTCAACGTATTTTTTTCTCAAAAGATCAACTGCAACTAAACCTTTTTTGACAATGCATCAAGGACAAAGCTTCACTTTATCGGCCCACGAAAGAATGAGACCGAAATCTTTCATTAACTGTCGTTAAAGTCGGCCACGCTCTTACTTGACCGACTGTATCTATTATATATATATATATATATATATATATATATATATATATATATATATATATATATATATTCCTAACGTTTATTGATATTATTAAAACCAAATTTTTATTTTTAGTAATAATTGATAGTAATGCCCTAGGGCAGGTCAGTAAGCTAAGTTAAACTCCAACTGTATTCAGGGAAGAATAGTGTGAAAGATTTTCAATTGCCATTTTACGTCCGAAATTGGGTTATTTCAATTGGGAACATACTTTTCATATATAGTTTCAAGTAAAAACGGACATCGCTACAGCACGATATGAGAGAGTGCGCTTAACCATTACGCTATGGAAACCCTTGTATTTTTAGTATTGATCATTTATTAATTTTATTATCAGTCATAGATATTAAATCAAATTAGTAGTCACAGATTAATCACAGAATCGTATAATCATGTATCCTTGTGCGAAAATTATTGATTTATGCATTAGTAAAGGAGTTGGGATTCAATTTGATAGTATAATAATATACAGAAATTCGAATATTTTTTTCAATTTTAAAGTTAGTAATATTATAATATAAATTATACCAGTTGTACTTTTTGCCACTCTACATTCAAAATATCACAACTTAATTTAATCATTATATTATTGGTTTGTTGGATCAGTAAGACAAATTTCAAAACTTACTCATATAAATAATTCTTAAACACGTTATGTAGAATAAGTAGAAATATAATTTAATATTTATACTGTAATATAATTAAGGGTGTGTCACATGAACTCTTAAAACAAATAACTAGTTTGAACAAAAATTTACATTGAAAGAATAATTAATTAATTATTAAAGTTATTATTTATATCAAGCGTAGTGTGAAAGATCCAATAATTATGACACATACTTAACACAAGTTCTTTCCAATAAATTAATTATTTTTAATAGGTTAAGTACAATACGATTTATTATATAAATAAATAAATAAATAAATAAATAAGTAAAATCAAATAAATTATATTTTAGTATCCAACTGAGTTGTTCTTCACGCTTTTATTATAATATAAGTTCAAAAAATATTTACTAATATTAGATTATAATTTAAAAAAATATTTTCACTTAGCTTCCACACTATAAACTGATTGCTGATAATAAACGTGTTTAATTATCAAATAAACATTATTACAGAATATAATTTGCACGCCATATAATGCTAACTGGTAATGGCAATTACTTCATGTCGAAGGAGAAATATACAATTCGTGATTTGCGTGATGTATATAATTTATAAAGGAATATTATGTAAATAACTTACTCCGAAGTTACATCTTATTTATGATAATGATTTATCTGATTATATTAAAAGAAGAAAATAACTTAATAACGCAATTAGAGAAGTTTGCAAATTCTCTTGTTCGAAAACAAAATATTTATATAAGGTAGATATAAATATTTATATATTAATAATAATTCGTTCAAAAATGATAATCACGGCAGGTACTTTGCCTAGAAGCTCATTAGTATAGGTACATAATAAACCGGATTACCACTGGATAACATTTCGAACCCATTTTCCTGGTACATATGTTACTCAAAATTACTCATATATTATGTTTTCTTTATAATGACTGATTGTAATTTATAATAACCAAAAAATGTTTGAATAAGTAAATTAGCAGTAGAACAAGATATTTTAGATGATCGAGTTAGATATGTTGCTGACAAAATTTGAAGTGAACAAAATTTATGATTTTTGAATTAGAAGTTATCTCATGGAAAAATATTTGTTCTGAGATGAAAATGAATTGAAGGAGCTAAAAAATTTTAAATAAACTGATAAAATTTTATAATTGAACTTACATATCACAGCACCTCCAGTTACCATAAGAGAGCAACAACAAGCAGAGAGGAAACGGAAAAACATATGAATTTCAAAAACAGTTACAGTTCCAGTAAGAACACCGCAACCCACCTGGGCTAACATCCCTGAGAGCATAACACGTCGAGGACTATACCTGAAAATGCAAAAAAGATAAAATCCATTATTTGAATATAGAAAATTTGATTATACGATAAAATGAGGGCAAATGATAGCAAAAAAGTGCTGTTAGTCATTTTAGGCGAATAAAGGAGCCGATTCTGCCATAAAATAGACCAGTATTATGGCAAGGTTACGTTATGTAGCAGTTTTCATACAAAATGGTACTAAATACTGACAAAATGTAATGCATTTGCTGTGCGATCAGGCGTTTTACACATAAATTGCAACTTTACTCATATCTCACTATGCCAAACCAGCACACCACAAAGATGCAGTTAATGCAGGGTTAGGTTTTCTCTCTATAATGCCTGTACTGCTCAGCAATCAGGTGGCTTTTAACAGTATTTAGTACCATTTTGTATGAAAACTGTTTCAGCACCATTTTGTCAGGGAGTTTGGTTTGAGAATCTCACCCTAAATATTTTTAGAAATACCAAGGCATCATTTGATAATATTTAGGAAAGAACTTTGAACACTTGTTCTTTGGTTCTTTGTTGCCGAATCAAACAAATAATAAATAGCAATTAAAATTCATTCTTTGAAACATCAACACTTACCCTTCAATTAATTTCGTAGCAAAAATGCCGCCGAGAAGAATTCCGAAAAGATGAAAGAATTGAGTGACTGCTACTAAAATATCTCGGGAGCACACCAAATCAAACTGGAATTATATAATAAACATATATATATATATATATATATATATATATATATATATATATATATATATAAATATTATCAACGTGTTCTATAAGCTGTGCTTGATATCATGAATATTAACCAAGTATTTCACCTCGACGTGGCAACCCAATGATCAAGAACTTTTTTTCTGTATGACTAGACTATATGTATATCTAATACTGTTGGTTTATATTTGTTTAAGCAATGCCTACAAAGGGCAATTTTCACTTGGGAATATATAAGATTGGGATCTATATTCTTCATCATACTACTTGATACTTAACTGGCCGCGGTTGGGATCAAACCCGAGACTAAATTTTTCTAATCCACGTTCATAACCATTACTGCATGATGGATTTATCTCACAACTACGTGCAAGAAAATTGAATATATATTCACTTAACAAAATACTATATTAATATATTAACAAAACACAGTCAATTTTTTTCTTGTTAATTAATTAATGATTAACGATTTCATTATAAAGAGAATTCTTTGTAAGATAATAAAATTTCGTTTATACGAAAATGTACCGCGTAAGGCTAGAACAAATATTGACACTAGACACTATTGACTTATTCTGTAAACATTCCTTATTCTGAACAAACATAAACAAGATCAGATGCGAGATACATTTAAGTAGAAATAAATTAGAGATAATATGTGAAAATTAAAACAACAAATATTGGGTATTTTATGCCAAACTAATATTATTTAACGTAATTCAGATTGGAACTAAAGGTACATTCTGGTTAATAGTCATATCAATATTTGTTAAGTGCAAAAAAACGTGATTTACATATGGTACTCTGCGAGAAGGCAGGTCTATAATCTTAAATAATCAGTTTTTCATAACTTGAGCCATATGTAAAAATTAATAATAATTATTTTCGTTAATGACCAATTAACCAAGAACATTTTGGTATTTATATTGTCACCAAACCTCGACCCATAAATGTATATTTAATTTTTAAAGCAAATAAGTAAAATTAGATTGTTTGTGCCAAATTCATTATATAATTAAAGTCAAATCTAGAAAAAATCGGTTGACATCACGTGAAACTATTGCAAAAAAAATAGTCGAATAGCTCGAAGGTCAAAAATTAAAAATCACATGATTTTTCTCATAGATTGTTTAAATTTTTTCGTTTATCATAATTTAATTCTTTCTACTCGTACAAAGCAAAACTAATACTATTATTATTTAGTTAGTACTATTTTGCCAGAGTAGAGGCATCCGAGTGGAAAGGGTTAAGAGCATTTATACTAATTAAAAAAAATATTACCTACATTAATTATTATTGTACAAAATGAAAAATATTAATTAGTTTACACCGTTTATGTTTTTGGTTGAATTTCTAGAGAATTGAAACTAGAAAATTGAAACTATCATAATTATGTTACTTGCAATTAAATATTGTGGAGAAGATATTATGAAACACCATTAACATTGAATTCTTATGTTTAGAATGTAATCATTTACAAATAATGAGTTAGATTGCATTTGGTAATAAAAAATTGATCTGTTGCATTGTAATTAAATGCAACTGAATAGTTGAATCGTAATATTTGCGTTCGTTCCTAAACTTTTTTTTTTAATTTTGATAACTGACTAAACAATTTTTATTTGAAAACTAACAGTTTAAACCATAGGTTCGCAAACTTATTTGTGTCGTGGACCCCTGGCGCTTTGTCATAAACCCTCTATTTAGCCGATATTGATTTTCTTATAAATTTCTATTTGTACTAACGTTTAGTATTAAATATTTAAAGTAAAGATTCAAAAACAAATTTAGACATTAATTAATTGACTTTAAAATAAATAAAAAATAGATATTAACCACTATCGTTGATGTCTAAAATTCCTTTTCGCTGAGGTGGACCTCTTGAAACTTATCAAGGACCCCTGAGGGTTCATATGGACCATTTTGGGAATCACTGGTTTAAACTATTGTACTGACAATTAATAACAGGTAGAAATATATTAAACAAAACTCCAAGAGGGGGTACCTTTAACCCTTTCTTGTCAGAGTACATATATAATTGGCAATAAAGATAGAAGATTTTTAAAAATAAAATGTTTGCATTAAATTTATTATAACTAAACACAATTTAACTAACATACTTTAATATTTAAAAGTTTATAATAATTGGTTAACCAAACTTTTTGGAGCTTGTTTAAGACATAAGATTCGGGTCCAAAACATATGGCAATAACGCCCAATATTTACCCAGTGTGTAATTCAACATGAAATTCACGATTCTTATGAGTATAAATATAAACTCTGAAAATATATCATTAAATATTGTTCATTACATCTTCTCCGATTTCATTTCCCTTTCGAAGGTGTTTTGTGGAAATATTTTTTCATTATCACGAAATCTTGTGGAGGTGTTTTCTTTATAGGAAACAGATTGAATAGAATCCGTAACTTCCGCTTTACGACTGTCGTAAACCATATTGACACAAAAACAGTTATTGATTGCTTATAACGTCGGGATCCTTAATACCCCGAACAACAGAAGCTCTAAACAAATTTCTGTTACCCATATAAATAAAATTTGAAACATAAATCTAGAGATCGCTTTCAGGGACTTTGACTCCGATGTCTACTTTGAAAAAACATTTTGTCTGAAATTCAATTATTATAAAAGTTATGGTCCGTAAAGATGAGAATGGGTAGACTAAGTAATTTACAGCCAAGTGCAATTTTTCTAATGGGTAATATTTCCAGAATCCACATTAATATCCAAAATCACACCTACAATTCTAAAACAAATTAGCCAATTAAGCCAGACGACCAGACTTAAAAGAAAAATAACTGAAGACCTAATTTAGTATAATTAACTATATAGACCAAGAGCCCGTGGGCGGATGACAGTATGTATTTTACGACACCTGAGATTTTGTGCATCGATTCCTCTATACCTATCCTACATGAAATGGGGACTGACTAAGCCCAAAGTGGCGGACACAGCTACTGCGCAGCTGGTAAAGGTACCTTTTTTTCGACCATTTCCGAACCATTTTACGACGGCTGCCGTTACGAAAATTTGAAAATATAATATTATTTTTATCGGAAAATACCAATGGCAGACGATTATCGCGCGGTTAACATGGTGGCAGACGATTTTGAAAATGCAGAAAAAGAATTTTTTTGAATGTATTTTACGATGTCTGCCATTTACATATTTTATTCCTTATAGTATCAAAACCTTATATTTATTACGGCAGACGTGTACCTGGTGGACCAACATCAGCAGAGTTAAAAAACTCAGCTACCATTTGGCCTGATAGTATGCATAAATCTCCATGTTTTATACCGATATAAGCAATTCTTTCATAATGATAATAGAAATTAATATTTGTTAGTTTATATGTGACATTTAATAATGTTGATGAGCGGAAAAAAGATTTTTTACGCTAAATTCGTAAAGATTAAAGTATACAAACGATAACAACAATTATTGTAATATTTATTCTATTTTTTCATTTATTTTAGTCTAATTTCAAAATATTGTATAAAAATAAAGTTATACAATATATATATATATATATATATATATATATACTTTCTTTATTTATTATAATCTCGGAGCCATATCTCGCTTTTGATGATTCCTCATCATCCGCTGAATCAGATTCTATAAAATAATAAATCAGATGTAAAATAAAAATTATTTGAAAATCCAACTGAAGATGTTTGATAAAGACGAGATTCTCCGACCATACTTTAATGCGCCCAACAATGTTGGTTGCTTGTTATAGATATTATTCCTAATATAGTTATAGTGGGCTCTAAAAATTGTTGATAAAACACGAGATTGAACTTGCACCAAAATTTAGAATTTTTTCTGCTGAATTGTTCATTGACGTTGTAAACTTTATAGTTATTAATGAATAGTTTGTACCGTCCAAGAACCACGTCATTTAGGTCTTTTTGCATTATATATTTGGCAAATATCTTAGGTGGTTTCCTGTTAAATTTTCTTTTTTGCTAAACCGAGTGTAGCAAACCCTTGTTGAAGATCGATATTTTTTATTTAAATTTTGTTAATTTATTTGAATTTCTGAGACTGTCAATTATACAATGATAATCACAAATGTCCAATCGTGTGTTGTTGAAGATTTTTGTTGTACTTCACATGAAGAACCTGACACAAACATTATCAACCACGCCCGTAACATCGCTGAGCATATCGTTGCAATATTCCTATTAGAGCCTTCGATACTGCAAAATATAAGTATAATATTGGTAATATGAATTGGTAATATGACATAACTGAGAAATATAGTAATTCAAATATTTGGATGCTAAATGGGGTTGAAAATAACCAGAGATATATTAACATCACGAAGCGAACTGGTTAGTTGTTTGCCAGAATTTCAATTTGTTGTCATGCTTTTACTGGTTCTGATTTCAATCCAGCCTTCTTTAACAAAAAAAAGACCTTACAATTCTCTGAAAAAAATCGATCTTCAACAAATGTTTGCTACACTTAACAAAGAACCCACATACAATATCTTATTAATACTATTCAGCTTAATTTTTTAAGTATGGTCGGAGAATCTCGTCTTTATCAAACATCTTCAGTTGGATTTTCAAATAATTTTTATTTTACATCTGATTTATTATTTTATAGAATCTGATTCAGCGGATGATGAGGAATCATCAAAAGCGAGATATGGCTCCGAGATTATAATAAATAAAGAAAGTATATATATATATATATATATATATATATATATATATATAATATTGTATAACTTTATTTTTATACAATATTTTGAAATTAGACTAAAATAAATAAAAAAATAGAATAAATATTACAATAATTGTTGTTATCGTTTGTATACTTTAATCTTTACGAATTTAGCGTAAAAAATCTTTTTTCCGATCATTAACATTATTAAATGTCACATATAAACTAACAAATATTAATTTCTATTATCATTATGAAAGAATTGCTTATATCGGTATAAAACATGGAGATTTATGCATACTATCAGGCCAAATGATAGCTGAGTTTTTTAACTCTGCTGATGTTGGTCCACCAGGTACACGTCTGCCGTGATAAATATAAGGTTTTGATACTATAAGGAATAAAATATGTAAATGGCAGACATCGTAAAATACATTCAAAAAAAATTTTTTTCTGCATTTTCAAAATCGTCTGCACCATGTTAACCGCGCGATAATCGTCTGCCATTGGTATTTTACGATAGTAATAATATTATATTTTCAAATTTTCGAAACGGCAACCGTCGTAAAATGGTTCGGATATGGGCGAAAAAAAGGTACCTTTACCAGCTGCGCAGTAGCTGTGTCCGCCACTTTGGGCTTAGTCAGTCCCCATTTCATGTAGGATAGGTATAGAGGAATCGATGCACAAAATCTCAGGTGTCGTAAAATACATACTGTCATCCGCCCACGGGCTCTTGGACTAATAATACTTCCATTTTGCTAAATTCAATGTTTTCTTTTGTTTTTATTATTTTTTTATCATATTTTAATTAGCCCATTTTAATAAGCCACTAGATGTATCTACTAATTTGTAATTTTATTTTTTCATATATTTGCCAGCACTTTCTGCCTATAGAATTGAATAAAATTGAATAAAAAATATCCAAAATAGTTTTAATTTCTTATCAAAGAACAAAGGTTGGTATTCACTAGCGAGGGGTTTTATTTATTGAACCGTCAAGAAGTATAAATAAAATATTCAAAAATCATTATAATTGAGAAATTAAAATAAAATTTGAACAAATATCAGCTCTATTACACATGAAGTTACTTCAAATTAATTTACGAAATCCGTAGTTATATGAATAAAATAAAATTAAAGTAAATGTCAACTAATCATGAAACTTTCTTTGTTTTGTCAAAAATGTGTACATATTCACTATACAGATTTAATAAAAATTAATAGTTGATGTTTTGATGGTTCTCAAGATACCAACATAACATTCCAAAAGATAAATTTCATTATTCAAGAAATCGAAAATGAAAATTTGTATATATGTCTTCTCAAAGCCTTTTGAAAATATTGGCATATCTTAGAAAAATCGATGTTTGTATGTGTGTATGTGTATCAAAGTTTGTGTGTACGTATGTGCGGATTCAATCTTTGGTCGACGATTTGGGAAGCACGAATCAACCGATTCGCGAGATTCAAACAACAATCGATTTGTATTGATGGGAAGATATGCTGATTAAGGCAGGATCCAGCCAGTTCGATGATACAACGAAAACGTGCAAAAAATGGCAATTCAGTTTTTGAGAGAACGGAGCGTCCGATTTGAACGATTGATAAAACGTGCAAGGTTTTTTGACGAGAATGATGAATGACGAATAGATGAATATTTGGAAAGACAGGTTCAGTGGTTTCGGAGATCCAATGGAAAAAGATTTTTTAAAGATTTTAATTATAAGTATAAATTTTGTTAAAATTTCTATATGTGCCAAAAATTTACAATATTTTACCGCTAGACTGCAATGGTTCATATCTAAAACAGATATGCAGTGTGATCACTTTGAAAAATAATCAAAATTTCCCAAAAATTTCAAAACTTTCAAAATTTCCAAAAAATCTTTTAAAATTATTCATTTTTTTTAAATTCGGAAAAAGAATGAAGCTTGCAGAAATTGTAAACTACGGTACAAAAAGTTCCTGAATTTTGCCTAAAGGCACGATGGTATTCACCTTAAATATTTATATTGTGCCATAGTGTACGTGAACTCAAAACAAACTAATTCAATTATTCGAAACATTTTTTTTCGAACTTTATTCTATTTTGAAGAATTTTCCATCAGAAATCTTCGAACCTACAATAAATTAATATTAACATACTGACCTGCGTGACCAGAGACGTGTAGTGCGTGTGGTGTTCAAATCTATCACATGGAACAACACTGGCATTTCTGGGAGAAAATTCTCCCGGATCAGTCACCGAGAGAGAGAGGTTGGCCCAGTCCCTAGCATGCTCCCTCGCATCGTCGTAGACATTGCAGAAGTCTATCACGAATTCCTGATCTGATACTTCCTATATATGATGACCAAATGGAATGTAATTTATTAAATATTTAATAACGTAACCTGTTTTGTTACACATGCCAATGCATTTCCTCTCTACATTAATCTACATTAACCCTCCGTCGGTCGGAGTCGCCTGGCCAGACTTTTTTCGACTTCAATTAAAAAAAAAATACTTTTTGTAATCCTATCTACTTGAAATTTTTGGTCTTTTCCTAAAATTTTATTAGTTGTCGATCAATGAAAAAATCAGGACGAAAAAATTTGTGGTCCAGCCAGACCACTCCGACTATTCGAAGGTAAATAAATATCTGACCGACGGAGGGTTAATCATGAACCTCATAATACATTGACTGCTATTCCTAATATGTTTCCTTTCCATTAAAAAGAGTCTTGAAGGGCGATAATGATGTTACCGGGCTAACGAGCTTTACCGAGAACCGTCGAATATTCTCGATTGCCCCTGTCGAATACTCTCGTTTGCTTAAATGTCATAATAGTTACCATGGTTATGTAATACGTGGAGCACGAGAGTAGCAATCGAGAGTATGCGACGGTTCTCGGCAACGCTCGTTCACTTGGTGACGTCACTATCGCCTTTCAAGTCAGCAGTCTATGTATTTTGAAGCCTACAGCATTAATACATACTCTTTATAAAACTTCATTAAAACATTTTTTTCTTTCATGGAACAAGTTCTAATGGTGTGTGGTATATTGCACATACTGCTGATCAGCGATCAGTTAAAAAAAGTGCAGTTTAATAAATAAAAGTGAATACATTTTGTGTTGGACCAGAAAATATGCCAGTCTTTGGGCGAGTAACATTTTTAAGTAAAAAATGTCATGTACCAAAACCCAATAAATAAAGTAAAAAAGTAATAATAAAATACCAATACTGTTCCTGATTGATACACTTCACAACTGATAACAAATAATAACTAATAAAAACATAATGAAATTCATAAAAAAATCCAGAACTCAACTTAATAGTCATCGTGCAAACTTATATCTAAAAATGCATAATGCAGCAGGCAAATAATAAATATTTTTATCATATTTACTCAATGTTCTTCTAATTTCTGAACTATTTCGTACCTTGCCATCATTTTTATCCCGTCGCTAATCATAAAAGCAATTAAACATGTTATTATTTATATTATGAAGCAAATAATTATCAAAATAATTTTGGCTAACCTTTACAGGATGTGAAATTTTTATCCATTTCCTAGTTGCATTGTGGTATCGAATATCTTCAGGCGGCTGACACCAGAATTCTCCGTGTTTTGGTGCAGGAGCCGTGAAGATGATGCAGGCCATGAACCAGGAAGCAGGAATTTTGACGAGGAAGATTATTAATACTGATCGAAGCTGCCATTTTCCTAAAAGAAAAAAATCGCATTTTGATAAATGCAAGTATAGAATACAGCAATGAGAATTTATGAGTGGTGTATGTATTGTGATATTGTGATAGTTTACTCATTGTCTAATTTTGATAAGAGAATCCAACGGTTGTTCTATCTAGATTTGATATATTTTTATTATTAGACGTTTTTTCAATACTGATAATATTCAATTTGTTACAGCATTGCATCAAGGGCTATTTTCACTTGGAGACATATTTTCATCTATATGTAGATACTGCTTATTTTTTTATACATCTCGGACAGAGGTATCTGGTATGAGAGATTGAACAAAATATCTATTCAACAGTATATATTTATTTAATAGTAGGTATATTCATTTTTACCTTCATACATTGGTCTAATTTATTTATATAGATTTTTTTTATAATGTTCTTTTAACTTAAAAATCTGGCAATCCAAGAAGAGTAAAGAACCTGAAACTTCTGTGTAGAAAGTCAGAGACCTAACCACTAATCCCGTGAATAATTTTATATGTACATTTTGATACAAAAAATAAGATTACATCAAATGTGATTAAACGATATGTTTGCCTGGTTTAGTATTATTTATTTTTCAATCGAAAAAAAAATTATTAGTATACTATTTATCAATTCAGGTATACTGAGTTATAATCATAAACTCCATGAGATAAAATACAATAGAAGTTTAGTGATCATATTGATTTTCCTTGTTATATTAGAAAAAAAAGACCCGAACATGAAGGCAATAAAAAGAAAACATTTGCCCTATAGTTTGCTTTTTGTTTCATATTGATACAATATTAGATAAGTTCTTACCCCAATCTCCCATAATATTTCGACATAGATCTGGCGGTTGCATTTTCTTTGGTTTCTGATTAGTTTCCTGGTTCAGATGAAGTTCGTATGAAGGTCTTTTTGATATTATTTGATAAGACCTTGATAGACTCCCTTTACGTACTTTACGTCCGCCGTGCCCCAAAAGAGGCTCCTGCAAAAAAAATATTAGATTTAAAAAAAATCGACAACATTCTTTTAAATAAAAGATATATTTTCTAAAAATCTCATAAATTCGAAACGAACAACAATTTAACAATTTGGCATTGAATTTGAATTTCATTTTCAATAAAATAAACTTTTTGTATTTTTTTTCTATTATTATTTTTTTAACTCTTGATATAGATGCGGTAAAAATAAGCTCCTAATGCCAAATTAAATGGGGTATTTTATTCGACTTCAATGAGCAAATAAATATTTTAGGGCTCATTATTAATTGCGTCTTTATCAGCAATCTAAACTAAAGAAAATAATGAGAAAATTGACTAGAACGGAAAAAAGCAGTTGAATTTTTGTATATTCGTAATATCTACATTCTCACGATTAAAATTTTGTTAATAAACGCATGAAATACATAACCAATCTTCAAATCAATTCTAAACTAATATCATATTTAGATATGTATATTTCTAATTGCAAATAACATATGAAGTCAAAGAGATAACTTTGACTATATGTAGTGACGTCTAAAAAAAATTTAAGAATCATTAAAAATTATCTCAATCTCAAAGTGTGCCCAATTTTATCGCCGACGTTTATTGATAAATCATTAATTAAAAGTAATTAACAAGAAACATAAGAGTTTAATCTCCAAATCACATTTTGCGCAAAAGATGAAAAGAAATTTGCACTCTGAATAAGTATAAAAATCAAATTGAATAAGAATATTAAAATTATTTTATACCTACTTATATGTCTAATTGAAGCCTTAAGTGAAAATTCTAACTTTTAATTTGTTGTATGGAAATAAAAAAGTATATAAACAAAATTAATTTGCAAATTAAGACTGAAGAGGAAGAAGTCAGTCTATTTATTTTAAAATACTTCTTTATTCAAAAATAAAAATAAAAAATAAAATAAGATAAAATAGATTAAAAGAGTTTTAAATTTCAAAAAAAAAATTTTTTGGGGTTATTAGAAATTTGACAAACTTGAAAATTATCAACACATTCAAGAGAGAGAAAACTTTTGCAAAAATTTTGGATAAATTTTGTAAACCTCATAGAATGAGAATGTTTGCAGGAGTAGGGGAAAGTCCAGTAACGCCGGACGGCACCAGGCACCGGATACTCTATTTAACAATTGTTATTTAGGCGAGTATAAATCTTTTCATTGACATTTCGTAAAATATTTTTGGATTTATTTATTAACAACCTTAGGTGTCCGCCACTAGTTTTCCCCTAATAGGTATTGTTTATTTAAATGAGATTGAGAATTTATTGATATAATAAAAACTAAATTAATATGAAAAAATATGACAGAAACATAATTTAATATGATAATATTATCTACAAATAGCTCATCCACTCTTTTGATGCACTCTTAATATTGTCATCTAATTTTTTATATATACTATCTCAAAAAATAAAAATTATTATATTATATGTTTTTGATCTATTTTAATAACTAACCCGACCATAATTAATAAATAAATAAATAAATGAACAACAATAAAACAAAAACAATAATTTAAATCAAACATAATAAGAAAACAATAAATGCACTTACATAATATATACAAAATACTTAAATCAACACACAATATTATTCACATAATATACATCAAACAGGTGAACACAAAAATAGCACAAAAATTACGAATTTCGAGATTCAACTTTTTATCACATATTAAAAATTAACTATTTATTTTTGAAACAAATAATTACCAATAAACTATAAATATAGATATAAATGCAAAGTAGGTACTCTGTGTCTGACAGAAACTGATATGTAACAGTTCATGAACTTGACAATGATCCAAAATTAAAACACGTGTTTAGCAATTTATTTAAAGATGTCTCCGAATAGTAATGGCATAGATTTTTTATATTGAACAACAAATGATTTTAGACGGAGCCAAGCTAGTTTGAAGACAAAGTAATTTTTGCTAGAATTCTTTGGTTGGTAAGTTAGGAAATTTTATATTTTTTTCACGTTTTACTCGTAACTTACAATTGGAATTAAAGCACATAGACACTTAGTCTACTTCCTTAACAAACAAACAAAAAATAACAATGGACCAAAAAAAACAACAAATTCCTACTTCAAACAACAAATTTCTACAGAAGTTATCTTTTACCTTTCACAAGCAAAACTGAACCAAATACTATTCCAAAACTAATTTATTACATCGGTATGAAACTGATAAGAAAAAAGATTCTTCTAGGTAATTGTTTATATAACATTTATTAGTGCAATTTGTATGCATCATTCAATTAAATTAGTTGATTAACACCATTGTAGAATGTTGCGTGTAATATGTCACATTAATTATTTTAAAAGTTTACCTATTGAAATCGATATCATGATATCATGCACTATTTTAATTATAGAATATAGTCGATGAAAAATGGAATAAATAATTATTTTTTATTACCAAAGACAGGTGTTGAAGAAGAAATGATGAAGTTATATAACACCAGAATTTTAAATCATAGTAATCTTAAATTCGCTGCTTTTTATAACGCACAAAAATAAATCAGTACAATGGCATTTAACTTTTTTTTGAAAATTAGTATTTTAGTTCTGGTATGTGATTTTTGTGAAAACATTCTTCTAGTTAAAGATTAAAAATGTTATTATTAATCATACATCTTATCTTTATTATGGAACTTTTTTGGCGATATACATCATGGTCTTATAGAACTTACTGAAATATTACGGCCTTACGACAAGTAGTTTAGTTTTAAAAATTCATCAAAGTTTGAGAAAATGAGTAGTTTTTTTGACGTTTGTCAAAATTAAAATTAAAGGATTTACTTGGTCTAACGATAGAGACTTGGAATTTTGAAAATTTGCTTTTAGAAAATACTTTGAGTTGTTCATTCGTTCTCAATTATATATAACAAATCCACTCGGAATACTTTTACTCACTTATAAATTAATTTATTTTTCATTGATTAAGTCGATTATTTACACATATCGGGAAGTTCATGAAACTTGTTTAAAATCTTTGATTTGGCAAAAGTGCCCACATTACAAGACACATTAAAAAAATTCAAAAAAAAATAGACCAAAAATGCTTCATACGTAACTGTTAATAACAAAATGATTAAGGAATTATTTATTTTATTGTAATGGCACCATAGTATTTAAAGATCCACAAATTATATGAAAAATAAGATTAAATGAGATTCCTAAACTATTATGTACCATTAGGATTCATACTGTGTTCTAAAACTAAAAATTCATTTTTCAGCATGGAAAAAATTCAAAGTCTAATTAATAAACATAAAAAAATTACAACGTTGAAAAACTTCAAATTTTGAATCCAAAATATGAAACCCAGAAAGTGATGAATTACTAAAATAGCTTATAGTAGTAGTATTTGCATTAATTCAAAAGTTTTAAAGGCCTAAAAACATCTAATAAAAATCAAGAACAACAATTTCAGTACATCGCTTTAAAAACGTACTCAACATTTTTTAAAAAAAATAATTACCATATTTATAGAAATATCAACAATATTCATTAAAAAAATTAAAACTTTCATGAGTATCATTTAGTGAACATTAACCAAAATTATGATCTCCTTGCTCTCATATTTATGCTTCAATCTGCTTTTTAAATACTATATTTAGTTTATAATGTCATGTTACAATTCTTAAAATTTATTACCCAAAAAGTAATCGAAAAAAGTAGTCCAAAAAAGTATTCAAGGCTATCTAATGATTATATTTATTATAAAACTAAACAATAACCACCAATCAATAAAAACTTAAAATTGTGACTGAAAACATAAATCAAGATGAAGTAGTAATTAGTTTACTACAAAAAATACTAATTAAAAAGTAATAGAAACAAAGATGTTATAAATAAAAACAAAGGATTTTTGATTTATATCCAATGCAAATATTTGCTTTAAGGCAGCAATTCAAAAGACTAAGATAGAAAAACAATAATTTATAGAATAGGATTTTACTCTATTTTTTAAAATTAGTAAAACGCAATTTTTTAAATAATCATACAAATCTTTTAAATTTTTATTAAATTTTAGAGTATACTGAAGTACTTGCGAAGTAAGAGTTGAGGATCAGATGCTAGTAAGTATAGTAGTACCCACTTATTTTTTCTTCAACAAAAATTTATATATATATATATATATATATATGTGTGTATATATATATATATATATATATTTGATTATCAAAAAATATTTTATAAATTAATAATAGAAGAAATATTGCAATATGAAACATACAAAATACCAAATTGGTTCAAATATGTCGCACGAAAATTTTTCATAAATTTCACACTTTTCAACTATCACTTCTACCAGCTAAACAACACCTCTGTGGCATTAATATTTATCATAAAAAATTCACAAATCATATTTCTTTACTATCAAGCACCTTTTCATCCTAAAAACTGATACAGAACTGCACATCTCTCGTGTTGTATATATTTTGTCACCGTTTGCCGTCCTAATATAATCTCGAACGGCTAATTAAAAGCGGATAACGTAATTATTTAAAAATTGCGAGCAAATTTCAATTTCATTTACGCGGAATGATTGAATGCGAATAAATATTCTCGATATTTGCGGATAATAAGTCTGCGGTTGCCGACATTGCCGTACCGTAAAATTTTAAATGACAATTATATTTGAAATGAGTCATTTCATATCTAATAGCTGTTCAGTCTCGAATTTTAATTATCGAGATAAAATATAAATTTTCTTACATTAGATACGATTAACTATTGGACTATTTTCAGTGAAGCTGTATCGTTAACCTTACTATTTTGAAAAAAAAGACAAATTTTACGATAAAATAAACCACAACATAGCGTTATTATGGCAACGCTAGGTTACGTTTATTACTTCAAATAAATTTATAGTAAAAATTGTCAAAATGCTATGTTTTTTATGTGTAGACAGGCGTTTTAGATAAAAAACTTAACTTCAACAACGCACAAACGCCAAGAAAAGAATGTTATCATAACTGCATCTTTCTGATGATCATTTATAACACATACGTGAAGTTAGGTTTCATGTGTTATCAGGTAAAACATCTGATCGCACAGTAAGTGCTTTAAGGCAAATTGCTGGAACTTTCCTGACCATAATGAAATATTCGAGGAATATAATTTAGTTCAAAAAAATTTTTTGGAAATAAAAAATAAAAAAAATTGAAACAAAAATGTTATTTCTTCCCAAAAAAACAAATGTTTTGTCTACACAAACAAAACGTTTTTGCAATCATTCATATCGGATGCTAATTTATTTTAAAACTGCCATTTTATGTATATTTAGCTCTGTATCTCCGAAACGGCTAGACCTGCCATTGCCAAAATCTAATCACCACTTGTCCCTATCATTACAAATTGATTGTGTTTTAATCATTCAAATCAGATGCTTCGTTCTCTCAGAAACTCGACTTCTATTTTCTGCACTCTTTGCTCCGTATCTCCGAAACGGCTGGATCTGTCTTTGCCAAAAACTAATCAGCACATTTCCCTAGCAATAGAAATCGAATGTTTTTTGAACAATTTAAATTGACTGATCCGAAAAACTGTATCCCTACATACATATGCATACACTCATATCCATTTTTTCTAAGATATGCCAAAATATTCAGAAACCTTCAAAACGTAAAGATATGCAAAAATTTTCAATTTCGATTTTTGGACGATTACAATAACTTACCCTACGGGAAGTTAATAATATTTTGACAGTTTTTACTACCAATTTTTATGAAAAAAGGAGCGCAACATAGCCTTGCCATAACAACGCTATGTTACGGCCTATTTTATTGGAGAATTGGCCCCTCAATTCTGTAAAAAATGAAAACAAATGGGCAAGATAACCTCATAGACCTTATAAATATCATATACCTCATATTTATAAGGTCTATGTCTATGGCAATCCTAAAAAACCTAAAAAATCGATGTACCTAAATGTATCAAATATTTTATCTCTTATTTTACAAGCTATTGAAAAGATAACATAGTATTTTTGTTAAAGACTACTCTTATAAATTTATTTATTCACCTCTTTTATTTTTATCATTAAACATTAAAGGTTTATTTTTTATTTGGAGACCTAATTTTGTACTAATGGTCAAGTATTGTTTTTGCACTCAAGATAGCAAGTTTATTCTTCATACTGCTTTTAATTCTATTTTTTAATGTTGAAATCTATGTAATTTTTATATAATTTAAAAATATCTAAAATAATTCATTTATTTTTGTTCCAAATTAATTTACTATCATAATTTGTTTTTATTCCTACACTATTGTTTTCTGTACCAGGTCATTTTACCACCATCACAAAACTCATATGTTGATTTAAATATTGTTAAAATTAATTGTGAATTATATGACATGATTTTTATTAAGCTTAATTAAGTTATGAAGTAATCATGTAATGATTACATCATTAAGAAAAATAATTGGATTTGAACAAAAATTCGATTGAATAAATTTTTGGATTTTTATATTATTCTGAATAGTTCAGTATAAAGTTGCAAAAAATATACGTCAGCAAAATGTGTGCCATCAAAATAAACTTTAGCTGGATAATTATACTTTTATTCCACAATTCATCGATTTTCCTTTTCTGACCGAATAAAACATCATGTACTTACGTAGATGTTAATCGAAGACCATAAAGATACAAAGGTTTATTGTTTTACGAGTGTTTATACAACGGTGATCGTATGTATCTTTGTTTATGTACATGCAATGAAAGTCTCTGTACTAATTTTAGATAATTTAATTCAGAATTTCGGTTAATTGCTGAACATAATCACCTAATTATACGCTTTTTATTCCAATGCTAATTTTTCGATAATATAGACACGCCAATGATTTATGCAAATAACCAGATCAGAGCATGAGGTGAAACAGATCCATTTATAAATGATATTTTGAAATAATGTTTTGTTTGTTCAATTGGCGAAACAATTATACAAATGTACCTACAAAAAGCCTCTGACGCACGATTAGATTTGGTTATCGTGTTTTTAATAAAAATATCAGATGACATTCAAATTAGTATTTAATTATTTGATTTATTTAGTTATATAGGTATGAAAGATTTTTCTTATAAACCGAAATTAAGTTATAGTCTCAATAACTAAAGTAACATTCATAACTTTCTTTTACAACAAATCCTTTGCGAGCGGATGAGTAAGTAATGTATTCAAATTTTCAAAAATTTCAAAAACTAATCAATTATGAGACCAGTTTTTTATTTTTTTAGAGTAATTTTTATCCATCTCTAATGTGTATATAAATCTTATGTATTTTTAGCGATTAGTATTGTACTAGTATAGTATTAGATGTAATTGTGCACTAATCAGAGTTATGCAAAAATTTAAAATATTTCAAAATTAATATAATATATAAAATATATGAAAATATTTTCAAATTTCTGCTATGAAATTCAATGCAATTTACTATTTATGCTAAGTTTTTATTTGAATATAATTGAGAAGTTAAATGCAAAGTTTCCTAATACTTCACTGTATATATTTATTACAATAAGAAAAATTAAAATAATATATATTATGAGTTCATAAAATATTACGTAATTTATTTTCAAATCAATGAGATATAATAAATATTCTTCATCCTACGACAAATTTGGAAATTACTACACAAATAGCTTAAAAAAAGTTCTAGTGTCTGTAAATTTTCTTATGCCTATAACCAAAGCTAAAATAAAAAAATTTAATTAGAAGCACATTTTTAATTTAAATTACAAAGTACTGCTCATTGATATCTAATGAAGTGTTTTATGTTACAAAGGAAATTATATGAAAACAATGAAAACAAACCAGAAATAGGAAGGAAAATTTAAATGTGAGTAAAAAATATAAAATTAAATGGTTTTTATAGCTGAGCACTTACTATTATTATTATTATTAATTCGATATTCCCCAAACTTTTTTTTAAGAAGTTGTAATTTGAATATGGTGCAACAGTAATAAAAATAGATGTAGAAATAATAGATGAATTTGTTTCAAAAATCAACAAGAAGTCACCCACAAAAATTAGACTACTTTTAATTTTTTCAAACAGTGTCAGCATTTGTTACAGTTAAAATAATATTTTCCAAATAAACTTTAATTCTTTAGAAACCAATTGTGATCTATATTTGATATTTATATTTATATTTTATATTTATAAAACAAAATTATGTCCTAAACAATCCTCAAATGGTTCGTCCGATTTTCACATAATAATTTTAATAAACATATAACTGCAATTTATCGAATGCTATTTGAAAGACAGCTTTTTGCAAAAAAAAAACAGTTCATGTTAAGGGTGATAATTGTTATTTTCATTACGGTTTCAGAATTTTTATGCCAAAAGGTTTATGTTAAATATCTTATTAATTATTTATCTTATTTAATAATTAGCCATAAAAACGTTAAGCAAAAAACTAATCTATTGTGAAGGTTGAAGTCAGTACATTATTTTTGAAGAAAACGCCGACTGAATGAATAATTTTCTTTGACATACTTTTTCCAATTTTCACGTCAAATTCAGACAGACGTCAAAGCGCCGAGTAAGCAAAATCTTTTATAATTATTTTTTGACAAATTCAAACTTTTTCTTTGCAAAGTTAATTATTACGTAAAATCATAATTATATTTTAATCATCCAGGAAAATTAAAATTTTGCAAAAATAACTAAATTTATATAATTATACTCAACAAGGCGATTTAATGAGCATACTAATTCAAATAAGAGTGCAAAGTAGAGTATCTACATAGAATATTTGAAATGAAAGTGAAAATTTATACTAATCAATTAATTAATTATAATTAATGATTATCCAGTGAATTATCTCATAAAGCATAGAAATATACTGTAAAACCATTAATCACTTACATAATAAGCAGAACATCACCAATAATACGCCTTACTTCAACTTCAGATTAACCGTTGTACCAAACAATCTACAAGCACTTATTTTTTCTATCTGAATTGCTGTATACCAATTAAATTGTATCAATAATATTTTTGCTTGAATTAATATCACTTGATAGAAGTCAATGCCGATGGCCTTTTCTATTGTTGGACCGCGATTTGATCATATGACACAATTATTTATTATTGGCCATTGCGACGTCAAGGAAATTTGAATCTTTGGATAAAATTATATGGCTGTTTATTTTTAAACGTTTTGCAATAAAATACTTGAACTTGAGCCATTACTGAACGGCCTTGACTTGCACTTGAATATTTTAATTGCAAGAAATTAAATTTCACCGAGATGAAATTATGTAATGGATGATGCACCGTTGCCAATAGTACCTTACTTGTGCCAAATATTTGGAATAAAAACTTGTAAATAGTATAATAATTAAAATCGTATCCAAATCACAAAATAATTTTACATGATTCATAAATCGTCTGCGAGTATGAGTAAAAAACATCTCTCACCACATCTTATAATGAAAGCTTTTTCAT